GTGTAGGGATAATAAAAAAAAAAAAATCAATAATAAAAACTTTAAAAAAAGTTATTGATGACACCAGATCTGGACTCCCATTATTCTCCAGGAGTCCAGAACAAGGCTGAATCAATTGCAGCAGATCCCAATGCACTGTCAGCCTTCATCTGAAAGATGATACAGGAAAGTTTTATATAAAACAAATGGACCTAAAATGTCGTGAAGTCAATCATTCTACTGCATTCAGACACAAACACACATTTACAGACACACCTAACATAGTCAATAAATAAATATTCTACAAGCTCATTTCATTGAAAGCTTTGACACAAGTTGTACTTTGTGTTAACTCCACATGCTACAACGGCTCTAACTTTCCTCTTCCAGCTTTTTCTCTATGGGCTCTATGAGTTCTTCTAATGTTGTTTAAATTTTTTAAGGCTCCACCTAAGTTTCCTTTTTTTCCTTTTAGTTCCCATATGTCAATCATTGATAAGCCCAACTCTGCTCCAGTGCTAAAGCTTTAAAAAAAATATATACTAGTCAAGTTTTTAAAGAGGAACAACATGTCAAGACTGTTTAGTAGTTTTTCATTTCTTGTTCCAATTCATATCTCTCACCCAGGATACGTCGTCAGAATTTGGTGGATTTTGATCAAGACCGACTGTGTCCATCATCTGGTTTTATAAAATTGGGATGTTTACTCATGGCAGCACAAATGGACCAAAACGGAGAGGGAATCCTCCTCTGCAACACTGCACTGGTACTCATTATAAATGGATTTAAGTCTGCATCTTTAAAAAAAAACATTATGTGGTGAACTGCACACAGATGTGGACTCCAGCTCTATCAACTGTTCAGTTTGAAACAGGTTAAAAGGGGACTGAGTAATATTTAAAACTATATTTAAATGTAAAAAAACAAGCTTTGCTTTGACATTACTTGCACTTAATAAAGTTTAGTAACTTTGGGTTTCCACAAGGCCTGCTGGATGAAATTACTTTGCAACAAAAAATATTTGTGTTCATAAGATGTGATATGATGGAATAATCTTTGAGGAAAAGATCATGTCTTTGATTTCTTTGAACACGTCCTTCCACTAAAACAGTTGACTAAAGCTGTCATTTTGTGGTTATATTGCTTATCTTCCAGTTTTTTTTTTTTTCATAAACACAGATGAACACAGAGAAATAATTCTCAAAATACCACTGATGGAATAACAGTATAAAGAGAAAGCTTAAAAGGAGAGAGGGACTTCTCCTGTGTTCAAGTAGGCCACTATTGACAGTTATGAAGGCACAACAAATGGCTTTTAAAACACAAAGGGAATGAAAAAAAAATATCTAACACAGTATCAGGAAATCATTGCTTCAACCATTGTTCACCGAAAGATGGAAACGTGGTGTCATATTGTAGATGTAATAGGCAGAGGTTGACAAGTGGTCTCTTAGGATGGATGTCATCTTTACTCACCTTCACCACAGAAGAAACAATAACAGTGCATAACACACATCCACTTGTTTTATATTTGCTTATTCTGGGCATGGAGCTCCTTGTTACATTGGTGTCCTGCAAAAAAGCAAAGACTCTTGGTGTCACCTATGACCAGGATGTGCCAATTAAATATATCAAGTCAGTTTCCGGGAGTTCGTCTCTGACTCTGAGTGATGCACACAAACAAACCCATTTATGTATTTTATTTCAGAGCTTGACTTGAAATAAAAATGGTTTAACAGAGCACAAACTGTACTTTTAATGTGTCTGTATTCAGTTTAACAAATATTGTGTTAAATCATTTTCTGAACCGGAGCTTATTGAAGTTTTTCAATAGAAATAAAGAGAAATAGCCCTTAATCAAGTCAAAATCGTAATTACTTTATAATTGTTCAACTGTTTTCGGAGAAGTTCCACTTTTATTCAGGGTTATTATGTCCAGACAAAGAAAAAAAAACAGAAATAATTCTAAAACTATACCTGATTTGCAAGCATCTAAATTTAATTTACATAACTAAACGTTTTTGTAACAAGAATAGAAATATTAGAACTTTTTTTAGTAAATCATAGACATTATAACACTTTTGCTGCTTTAAAATGCATATTCTAGTTAATTTCACATCTATTTTTGCTTGCACACTCTCTCTTTCCCATAATAGAGTGCTTTTTCCCTTGTGTGGTCTGGCGTCAGGCTTCGGTACCTTTCTTTTGAATGTTGTTGCTATTGCTGCGTCACAGATCAATGGCCAGAGACTAGAGTGGCAACAGAGGCGTCTCCTCTCCTAGATTTCCTGATGATGCTCATTGAAAGGGGGATTTTCTGCTTGTCTAGAACAGTGAGACATCAGGGTATATAAATTTCTACTGTTATGAATGGAGTGAAATTGAACCCACCGGACCAGGATTTAATGCTTGTGGGCTGAAAGCCATTGTTAGCACTAACTTATATAAATGCTTACAAATTAATAAAAAGACTATTAACCTTCTTCAAATATCAATTGATTATTGACAAAGCTAATAATCCATGTACACACAAACAATACCATTTGACATGACTTTAGGCAATTATAGTAAATTATTTGAAAAAAGTTTAAGCTTTTGGACTTGTGGATTTTTATTCCATTTTGACATGCTCTGTTCTGCAGTTTAATAAAAGATCATCTAGTATGGATTGAATTGTGTTCAATTACTGTTGCAAACAATACAATATAAGTTTAATGCTGTATAAAAAAAGTAATCCAGATATGAAACTTTGAGAAACCTTTATAATAGAAACAGATGTCAACAAGGGGGGTGAGGTTGCTTGAGAACCTAAATGCAGAGATGAGTGTTTGTTGGTTTAATCCAAACTGAGGCAAATATCCAAAAAACAAAAAATACCTTGAAACAAAAAAACCCGGCAAAAATCATGGAATACTCACGTGGAAAGCCAGAGACAAGGATTTTCATTGATTCCACAATGTAATTCATGGGATAATAGCAAAATGTCTTCACTGCTCACTACTGAGGAAAGCATGCACAAAAATGGAAAAGGTTGTGATCTGTGAAACTCAGTTTGAAACAAATGTAATTCGTAATAGATATATGAAACACAAAAAGAAAACAGACATATATAAATATATGCTTATCTGTAAAAATAAAATTGGGATACCAAATTACAAAACTAAAATCTGGAAAAAAGTTCCTTTAAAAAGCTTTTTTATATGGAAAAGGTTTTTAAAAGTTTAACTTGTGTTTAGTATTTTTTTCTTTTTCTAATTTTAACTTACAAAATGTGTCATCTTGCCTGCACAAATAAAAGAAAACAATGGAACCAAATTCACTTCATAGTATTGTTAAGGAACAATAGTGAACTGGTAAATTGGTCATTAATGAATGGCGGGAAAAAAGGCTAAATTCAACAAATGCAATATTGTCAAGGACCTTATAGTTTATTATGGTGCTGCATGGCTGATGACATATAAAAAATTTGTTCCTCTGACTCTATCAAAGCCCAAAACATGGCGTATCAGAGGTGGGTCGTAAAACAATATAGGAAAGTAGCTTATCTGATGATACTCCATTTCTTAAACAAAAACAACATTGCAAACAAATGGCACCACCATGCTTTTAGAAAGAACGAAAGCTGGTAAAGGCAGTGTAAACCTTTAGGTGATGATCTGCCGAGGAACCTTTGATCCAGGATATTACTTTGATACATATCTTGTAGGTACGGTATATAGAAATTGTCAAAAGCAAGCAGACGCTTTACAGGAAATTGTATGCCCTGATTGCTGTGTTGACTTTTATCTGAATAATGCAGTCTGCCATCAAGTAAAATGGTTCTGAAATGGTTTGACCAAGACACAATCGCTTTTCATTTGACCTCAAATTCCTCACATCTCAGTCAAATCAAATATCTTTAAAATGACAAAAAGACGGTTTGAGGGAGGCTGATAGACACCCCCACATTTCACCTTAGTAGAAAACTGCTGAAACTTGGTCCCAGAAATGACAACAACACTTATAGGATAGGAGGGTCTTTAGCTTGAAGGATCAGAGATTATTTGGTTCTAAAACAGGCACATCACACTGTTAGATTCTTGATAACAATCATTTTAGATCTACATTTCTTATTAAAAATGGTCACAATCTACATTTGAAGCAATGCCTTTCTAGATGAACAATTGCGATCCTTCAGAAAATGATTTATTTCATTCTTCACAAAGAAAATAAAGTTTTCAAATTTAAAGACTGCTTAATGTATTTTATCTCTGAGCAGAAAGTCCAACTGAGATTAAAATCTGTTATACCAACAAGACCTTACCAAGGTAGCATCTATAGAAATGATAATATAACACAAAGATAATGCAAAATAGACACAAAAGTACAAATTATTATTAGTCTAATTAAAACTAAGTGAACTCTCACACTTGTCATGATGACCTTGAAATAATCATGGATATACATTTTTATAATTGAAACACATTTTTGAAGCTCAAAGACCACACATAAATAATATTAAACCTTTTAAGAGAGATTGTTGACCCATGGGAACACTATAGCAAATACTTTACACAGTAAAGCAGAGAGGACAGCCATCGTTATACATCAATATATATAGATATATCTAGTCTAGGTTGGACCAGTGTACATGCAGCACCTTTAGAAATGCAGCAAATTTTTAATGAATGTTAAAAATGTAAATAAATAATATAATAAAAAAAAATCTCTGATAAAAGGGAACTGATGTTTCACATAATACAAACTGTGCTTTTAATCGGTCTGTATTTAGGGGAACAAATGTATTTTCGTTAAATAATATTCTGAACTAGAGCTAATTGAAGTTTTGAAATTAAAAATAATCGAGTTTAAATCTGAATTAACTGCTTATGATCCCTGTAACTCAATGTCAGACAAACTATACTTTCATGTCCAGCTAAACGAACAATAAATAAATAAAACAATATATTTATAAGGTCATTATTTTCCTCAAAACAACCACACAGGAAACGTAAACGTCTTTCCCTGCGTTTTACGACAAATATAACGCTTTGCGGCGCTTTACGGCAGGCATGCTTGTTGTTAGCTGAAAGGAAGCTAGTCGTGCCAAAATTCGCTCTTAGCCACAACAGAACTGCGATACACGCGTTTAACCAGCGGAAATGGATGTCGGAGAACTCTTAAACTATCAGGTACTTGTTCTTATTTCACAGTTAATGTAGGTTTGCTTTGTTCACGTATCCCTTCCTTGCAGATAACAGTCTGCTCCAAGTTCCAAATCATAGAGAAGACTCTTATTTTGAATCACTGGTTACATCTTTCTGCTTTATATATCATTATAGAAATGTGTCATCTTAAAACCCACGCGACCGTTAATCAAGTTGACTCGTCAAGTGCGCGTTAGGGTACTATTCAGGGATAAAACGGCGTAAACTATGAATACATTCACTACTTGTTCCATTTACCTGCTTTGTTTTAATTATAGCGTCGGCAAATGTACAGCATTGTATAAAGTGACAAACCACCAGTATTATCTTTTCTACTACAGCCTTGATTTGCCTCTTTAATAGTGTTGTAGTCACTTTAAAGAAGCAGCCTCTATGTGCAGCTGAGCCTCTTTGCTTTGGTAGTCTAATTGTTACTGATTCATAGGTTAGAATCTGTTGGCTAAACAAATGAAGAAATGCCTTCTGTGCAAATGTAAATGAGTAGAGAAACCAAAGTTTGAGAATCTGTTGAAATAAACATTGATCACTACAATGTTGTACTCTGTGTGTAATAATACAGAAGTTTCTGTCTGATCCCCAATGAATTAAATTGAGTCTTTAATCAATGTTTTGAGGTATTATACATAGTGTTGCACCGATACCAGTATCAGTATCGATCCAGCATTAAAATGGTGGTATAGGAATCGCCGAGTACTGACAAATAGGGCACCGATACCATTTTGAGAGACACAAGTTTATTTAACTATTGTCACCCATTCCAGGTAGGCAATAAAAGGTTCTACTGGATTAACTTTGTTTTAGTCTTTTTTAGGGTTGTCAAAAGTATCGAAACTCAAAAAAGCAACGATACTGAAGTGTTGTATCCGGATACAATACTCGTTTTTAAAAGTATCGATACAGTGCCGTCACCAGTGGCACCTAAGCAGTCATTCATCTAAAGTGCAGAATAGAGGAAAATGCACTTTCAGAACACTGTGTGATTGAATAATTCTGTGCTCTTTTCAGTTTCAGACTTTTTTTTGTAAGAAGTGCAGCTGCTGAGAATTATTTTTGTTTCTTAACCGGTTTGGTTAGTGTCACTGTTATGTGTGCAAAGCATAGCCAAGGAAGGAACACTCAATTTTAATTTTATACGTTTTTTATCAAGCTTGCTTAATATTATGCACAGCATACAACCTTTATTGTGTTTATTTATTATATTTTATTTATTAATGAAAATATTTCTGTAGACTTTTGGAGTCTGTTTTTATCCTTGTGGTATCGAAAATGGTATCGAGTATCGAATATTTTCCTTAGTATCGGTATCGAGTTGAAAAGTTTAGTATCGTGACAACCCTAGTCTTTTTACTGCTTCACAAAGGTAGGCAGCAGCTTGACAAAGCCATGATGGCAATTATTTTACATCCAAGTATTATGCAGTTCTTCATATATATATATATATATATATATATATATATATATATATATATATATATATATATATATATATATATATATATATATATTAGGGGTGGAACGGTTCACAAAATCCCCGGTTAGGTTCGGTTCACGGTTTCGTGGTCACGGTTTTCGGTTCGATTCGGTATATGTTGATTGTTACACCGAAATCCCATAAAAAATTATGAAATTAATGAAAAAATCCCCCAAAAATATTTTAAATGATCCGCAGAAACCCTGGATCATTTCCGTATGTTTTGCTGCTTTGAATTTAATCATCTCGTGCATGCTCTCTACCATCTCCAAGGGACTCAGAGGGGAGCGGACGGGAGCCACAGGGGAGGCTGTAGGCTTTGCTTTGAGCAGCTGGTCTGGAGCGCAGCGGGGTGGAGCGGGGGTTGCTGACGGAGTATGAGGGATTTCGGGGTTAGCATGACATGTTGGTCATGTTGCTGTTAGCATAAACAAAATGTGTTGCACAATGCTTGCACACTGTTGCACTTTTATCCACAACTTTCTTTCCGCCGTCATCGTAGGTCACTCTAAATTCAAAGCGCTCCCATACAGCAGACCTATAAAGTGCTGCTGGCGCGTCTTCGAACTCCTGTTCTTTCCCACTCGCCTTACCCACACAATTCTCCACAACAACTTTTTTCCCTGCTACGCTGCTTCGCTTCTTCTTCTTCTTGTTTACTACTGGTGGTTGGCTTTGGTCGCATTACCGCCACCTTCTGCTCTGGAGTGTAAACACTTTGCCTATGAGAAAAAGGAGCAGCGCATGAACCAAACGAAACACACGCGAACCGAAAGGTTCGGACAGTTTTCATAAATCGTCCCATCCCTAATATATAATATTATATATATATATGCTCTAGTCCATCTATGTCTTGTTCCAGTAGCCAATTTGTCATCAAGTTGCCCTGGTTCCCTAGCAACTGACGCGGACCTTGTTAACCCGGGCGACGTCTGAGCCGGTATGGCTCTTGTATTTGCGGTTTCACTCATGCCTGAGGTAGGCCACTAAGCACAAAGGACCTTGCCTAAGGGTCCACCTGGATGTCCATGCCGGGAATCGAACCCCGCCGGAGTCGTCGGTGTTACCTACCGAGCTATCCAGTTGTACACCAAGCGTAGCGAGGGAGGCCGAGGGCTAGTGAGTGTCAAGACCACTGTCCAGGATGAAACAACTAAGATCCAGGAGTACATCAGAAAGATGGTCCCCAAAGACAAATGGCTTGGTGAATACCTCAGGCAGGAGAAAACCGAAAGTGAGGACAAGAAAGAGGAGGGAGAACCATCATGGAGGGACAAGCCGCTGCACGGCGTATACCACAGACAAATAGAAGAAGTGGCTGATATCAAAAAATCCTACCAGTGGCTGGAAAAGGCTGGACTGAAGGACAGCACAGAGGCACTAATCATGGCAGCACAAGAACAGGCACTCAGTACAAGATCAATAGAGGCCAGGGTCTACCACACCAGGCAGGACCCCCGATGCAGACTGTGCAAAGATGCCTCTGAAACAGTACAGCACATAACAGCAGGGTGTAAAATGCAGGCAGGAAGTGCATACATGGAACGCCACAACCAGGTAGCTGTCATAGTGTACAGGAACATCTGCCATGAGTATGGGCTGGAAGTCCCAAGGTCAAAATGGAAGACACCTCCTAAGGTAGTTGAGAATGACCGAGCTAAGATCTTATGGGACTTCAAGATCCAGACTGACAAACAGGTAATGGCTAACCAACCAGACATCGTGTTGATCGACAAACAGCAGAAGAAGGCAGTAGTGATAGATGTGGCAATCCCAAGCGACAGCAACATCAAGAAGAAAGAACACGAGAAGCTTGAGAAATACCAAGGACTGAAGGAGGAGCTAGAAAAGATGTGGAAAGTAAGAGCAGCAGTGGTGCCAGTGGTAACTGGAGCACTGGGGGCTGTGACCCCCAAACTGGCAGAGTGGCTACAGCAGATTCCAGGTAAAACATCAGAGGTCTCTGTCCAGAAGAGCGCAGTCCTAGGAACAGCTAAGATACTGCGCAGAACCCTCAAACTCCCAGGCCTCTGGTAGAGGACCCGAGCTTGAGGATGACACATACCACCCCACGAGGGGTGAGAAAACAGTTTTATATATATATATATATACACACATATCAGTTTCAAACACATGGTATCAGCCGATACTGCACAGCCAGGTATTGGTATACAGGTGCTGGTCATAAAATTAGAATATCATGAAAAAGTAGATTGATTTCAGTAATTCCATTTAAAAAGTGAAACTTGTATATTATATTCATACATTACATACAAACTCATATATTTCAGATGTTTATTTTGTTTAATTTTGATGATTACAAATGACAACAAATGAAAATCTCAAATTCATCATATCAGAAAATTAGAATATTACTGAAGACCAATAAAAACAAAGGATTTATAGAAATGTTGGCCAACTGAAAAGTATGAACATGAAAAGTATGAGCATGTACAGCACTCAGTATTTAGTTGGGCCTCCTTTGGCCTGTATTACTGCAGCAATGCGGCGTGGCATGGAGTCGATCAGTCTATGGCACTGCTCAGGTGTTATGATAGCCCAGGTTGCTCTAATAGTGGCTTTTAGCTCTTCTGAATTGTTGGGTCTGGTGTATTGCATCTTCTTCTTCACAATACCCCATAGATTTTCTATGGGGTTAAGGTCAGGAGAGTTTGCTGGCCAATTAAGAACAGGGATACCATGGTCCTTCAACCAGGTACTGGTAGCTTTGGCACTGTGTGCAGGTGCCAAGTCCTGTTGGAAAATGAAATCTGCATCTCCAAAAAGTTGGTCAGCTGCAGGAAGCATGAAGTGCTCTAAAACTTCCTGGTATGTGGCTGCGTTGACCCTGGACCTCAGAAAACACAATGGACCAACACCAGCAGATGACATGGCACCCCAAACCATCACTGACTGTGGAAACTTTACACTGGACTTCAAGCAACGTGGATGAAGTGCCTCTCTTCTTTTCCTCCAGACTCTGGGACCTTGATTTCCAAAGGAAATGCAAAATTTACTTTCATCAGAGAACATGACTTTGGACCACTCACCAGCAGTCCAGTCCTGTTTCTCTTTAGCCCAGGCAAGACGCTTCTGACGCTGTCTGTGGTTCAAGAGTGGCTTGACACAAGGAATGCGACAGCAGAAACCCATGTCTTTCATACGTCTGTGTGTGGTGGTTCTTGAAGCACTCACTCCAGCTGCAGTCCACTCTTTGTGAATCTCCCCCACATTTTTGAATGGGTTTTGTTTCACAATCCTCTCCAGGGTGCGGTTATCTCTCTTGCTTGTACACTTTTTTCGACCACATCTTTTCCTTCCCTTCGCCTCTCTATTAATGTGCTTGGACACTGAGCTCTGTGAACAGCCAGCCTCTTTAGCGATGACCTTTTGTGTCTTGCCCTCCTTGTGCAAGGTGTCGATGGTCGTCTTTTGGACAACTGTCAAGTCAGCAGTCTTCCCCATGATTGTGTAGCCTATAGAACTAGACTGAAAGACCATTTAAAGGCTTTTGCAGGTGGTTTGAGTTAATTAGCTGATTAGAGTGTGGCACCAGGGGCCATCAATTTTGAACCTTTTCACAATATTCTAATTTTCTGATATGATGAATTTGAGATTTTCATTTGTTGTCATTTGTAATCATCAAAATTAAACAAAATAAACATCTGAAATATATGAGTTTGTATGTAATGTATGAATATAATATACAAGTTTCACTTTTTAAATGGAATTACTGAAATCAATCTACTTTTTCATGATATTCTAATTTTATGACCAGCACCTGTAGGGGCCAAAAAATGGCATCAGCACAACGCTAGTTATACATTTGAATGTCATGTTTTCCTATGATTGTTCACCATTTTGTAGTCTGATGTGAAGTAAAGTTGGTTTAAAGAAGTAGGATTATTTAAGTGTGGGTTGGGGTAACAAGTAGTGAGAACTGCAGAAAGGTTTATCAGGGCTCTTCTTCCCTCCATAATAGACATATCATCCCAGTGCCGCGTGTCCTGAGCCCGTAACTTTATCAATGACCTCTCACACCCCCACCATGGACTGTTCTCCCTGCTGCCTTCTGGGAATGGGCTTCGCAGCATCCGATGCAGGTCCAGCAGATTCCAACAGGTTCTTCCTCACTGCCATCAGACAGCTGAATGTTGAAAAAACTCTAAATCATGTCACAGACTCTCACTGACCATATCAATGCGTTTTTTGCACTATGTTTCTTTTCTCTCTCTTAATGTTTACTTTTGATCACTGCTGCACTTTAAGAAATGAAAATGTCATGAGAGCTGCGCATAATGAAATTTATTTTAAATGACTATAAAAGTTTTCTAAGTTTCTAAGTCCAAGTCTCTAATTTAATTTTTTCTTCACCTTTAGCCTGACAGAGGAGCCAAGCGTCTGAGGGCAGATGATGGAGGAGCTGCAGGAGGAGAAGAAAACTCCAGAGGAGGGAAGCAGCAGAGAGGTTTGGGAGCCAGGGAGGCCAGCAGATACAGAGAAATGGACGGAGGTGTTGAAGTGAAGGAAACGGAAGAGCCAGCCGGAGACAAAAACACGATTTTAGAAAAACTGATGGACCAGGATGGGGAAGAACCTGAGGTGAGGAAAATTATTATGCAATTATTAGAGCTTTTACGTAAAGGTATAGTGCAGGGTGTTCTTTTTCTGGGTGGAGCATCAAAATAAGTGGTTCCTAATTGTGAATCATTATGCTGATATGTTTACATAAGGCTATGTACTCGTCCCCATTTTCACTTATCTGACATAACGGAAAAATTCCAAATCTTCTTTAGGAAAGTAAGCTTGTATTTGTGATGCAAACAGCAACTTTTAAACAACCCTGTAACGAGCTTTAATAGGCAATCCCTTCCAGGAGCGGTTACAGGGTTGTTGTTTTTTTTTTTTTTTTTTTTTTTAAGTGGAGATGATGGGTCTTTTCAAAAATTCAAGAAAATCCTCTACTATACCTTTAACTTAAAAATTGATATGGAGTTCACACTTTTTTATTTTTGGAATTATTAGTTGCCTTCCCTGAATGTAAGAATTTTATGAATGTTATTAAAACTTCGTCGTGGTGAAGAGAGAGCTGAGTCAAAAAGCGAAGCTCTCGATTTACCGGTCGATCTACGTTCCTTCCCTCATCTATGGTCATGAACTCTGGGTCATGACCGAAAGAACGAGATCGCGGATACAAGCAGCCGAAATGGGTTTCCTCCGTAGGGTGGCTGGGCTCTCTCTTAGAGATAGGGTGAGAAGCTCGGTCATCCGGGAGAGACTCGGAGTAGAGCCGCTGCTCCTCCACGTCGAGAGGAGCCAGTTGAGGTGGCTTGGGCATCTGTTTAGGATGCCTCCTGGACGCCTCCCTGGTGAGGTGTTCCGGGCACGTCCCACCGGGGGGAGGCCCCGGGGAAGACCCAGGACACGCTGGAGAGACTATGTTTCTCGGCTGGCCTGGGAACGCCTTGGGGTTCCTCCTGAAGAGCTAGAAGAAGTGGCTGGGGAGAGGGAAGTCTGGGCCTCCCTTCTTAAGCTGCTACCCCCGCGACCCGACCCCGGATAAGCGGAGGAAGATGGATGGATGGATGGATGGATGGATGGATTAAAACTTGATGATTGTTAAGTAATCCTGTGTTTACACAACAGGTATAGACAGTAATAGCAAATTTCATTGTCTGGGTTGTTGTTATTAAACCGTTAAGTGATGGGAGCTGATAGCATCCTGACCACATCATTAACTAAGAAGGAAGGTAAGAAAACAACAGCATGTTTAATTGAAGCTTTTTCAAAACAATCAATGTCCTAAAAATTATGGATAAGTTGGATAAAATTTGGCATGACTGCTCAGTATGCAGACTATTTGAAAACGAAGCGATACATGTTCAGATTTAGGACCACAACCATTAATGGCTCAAGTCAGATTTTCTTGGGAGGCTTCATAGATCGGAATTGGTATGTTCAAAGGTTTAATGGTATGTAAGAATTTTCCAACTGATATTTGTCAGTCCAACAAATGGGGATATTTTGGTGTAGATGACTGTGGCAAAAACAAGCACCTCTTCAGAGCATGTTTGCTGCACCGCTGGTAATATGGTTAACTAGCTGCGCACACTACTAAAACCGAATAAGGTTAGCTTATATATGCTTGTTTACTTGTCAAGTGGGAATAGTTTCCTCCTATCCAGTTGTTCTGACATTATACACTGCCTGGCCAAAAAAAAGTCGCCACCAAAAAAAGGGGTCACTCACTCTAATACTTTATTGGACCGTCTTTAGCTTTGATTACGGCACACATTCGCTGTGGCATTGTTTCGATAAGCTTCTGCAATGTCCAAAGATTTATTTCCATCCAGTGTTGCACTAATTAAAAAAAATGATGTGTCATGCTCCCTGAACCAGTCTCTAACAATTTGAGCCCGATGAATCCTGGCATTGTCATCTTGGAATATGCCCGTGCCATCAGGAAAGAAAAAGTCCATTGATGGAATAACCTGGTCATTCAGTATATTCAGGGAGTCAGCTGACCTCATTCTTTGAGCACATACTGTTGCTGAACCTAGACCTGACCAACTGCAGCAACCCCGGATCATAACACCGCCCCCACAGGCTTGTACAGTAGGCACTAGGCATGGTGGGTGCATCACTTCACCTGCCTCTCTTCTTACCCTGATTGGCCCATCACTCTGGAACAGGGTCAATCTGGACTCATCAGACCACATGACCTTCTTCCATTGCTCCACAGTCCAATCTTTATGCTCCCTAGCAAATTGAAGCCTTTTTTTCCGGTTAGCCTCACTGATTAGTGGTTTTCTTACGGCTACACAGCTGTTCAGTCCCAATCCCTTGAGTTCCCTTCGCATTGTGCGTGTGGAAATGCTCTTACTTTCAGTATTAAACACAGCCCTGAGTTCTACTGTTGTTTTTCTTCGGTTTGATCTCACCACACGTTTAAGTGATCGCCGATCACAATCATTCAGGATTTCTTTCCTGCCACATTTTTTCCTTGAGAATGATGGGTCCCCACTAGGGCTGCAACTAACGATTATTTTAAAAATCGATGAATCGGCCCATTATTTTTTCGATTAATCGATGAATTGGACAAAAAATATTTTTTATATTAACCTCTTTATTCCAAATTAAAAATTTTAGACAGAACAAACAAGCACACAAGTACTGGTTACTCATTAACTGTCCTGGTGCAATATGAAAAATAAATGTTTGTATTAAAACTACGCAAACTTACATGAGAAATGTAGCTGTACATCCACAAAATATAGGGTACTTTGTTTCATAAAGCACAAAAAAAGACATTTTTGTTTTTAAAAGCCCCTAAGGGGTTCAAACAATAGGTCCCCCCATTTCAACCAATGAGGTTTTTTTTAGACTAGAAGAGTTCTGCCTTTTAAGACAGGAAAGTATAGCAGTTAAAGTTTCTACTTGAGAAAATACTTAACCATAGAGATAAAAATAGCCCTGTGATTCAAATTATAATTTGTATTTGGAATAAAAATGAGAGAACTAGGGGTGCTAAAAAACGCATCCTCCAAAGACAGATATTTACATGGAAATGTGGCATATAATTAATTGACATATTACTGATCTTGCTGGATTTTATTCTGCTTTACTTCCATAAATTGCAGGATCTTCTTTACTTTATCTTTGCCAGAAGATTTAAACTTTAAAAGCCTTGCCCTCATAATTTGCAAGTTAAATTATTCATAAAGAAAATATAAATGCTGCTTAAGCTAATTCAAATGACATTAAAAGTAAAATAAGTAGCCAACCTTATCACTGTCTGTAACCTACTAACAAGGTAAGGAAAGCATCAGATGAGCTACCTGAGAAACTAACGCTACGTTTCCCCACTTTAAAACCAAACAAACATGGTCGCTCACCCTGCTGATCAGCGCTCTTCACTGCCTTCAAAGGCTCCATCATGTTTCCTTTTCAGGTGCTGCATCATGATTTGACCCTTCTCAAACAAACTAACATCTTTTCCACGACCACAGGATGTGTCTTTCAACATGGTTGTTTAGGAAATGAGAAGCAAGTCATTGCACCAGTTGGGGTTAAATGACTTGTTGCCAGCTGAAAGATAATCGCCCATGCAGTAATTATCCAATAGGAGGCTCGTACTTATTTGCTTAGTTGAGTCCAAATGGCAACTTTTTTTTTTGGCCAGGCAGTGTAGTTTTGATCATTATTCAGTTGTTTATCTAAATGCATAAAATCGAAATGACTGAAACAGGGTTTCTGTGAGTCCTTAAAAATAATTTAAAGCTATTACATAATTCTTTTTTTAATTAAGACTTTAATTAGCATCAGAATTCATTAAATGTGATTTTTGTGGCATTTAAAATTCTTTATTAAAAACAAAAAATAAAAAAAAGGTTTATAAAAACAATTTCGTCAGATATATTATATCGCAATATATCTGGGCGGAACTGCTTCCAGTTGATTGAAAAGCCTATTATTCGGAAAAAAAGATCGAGGCGGAGAGAAAGCTAGAGAACTGGAAAATGCAAATTTTGACAGAAGTGGCTGGAAAATGAGGAATTCAGGACATGACAGCAGCCTGTCGACGGTAAAGGTGACGAAGGATCTTGCTGTGTTTATATGTATATATAATCAGTCAGTCATGGGTACTTGTTGAAGGCATTAAACGTTTTTCTAAGAGCATTAAAAGAGCGTAAAAACCATTAAATTAGAGTTACTCATTCCTGGATAAACCATGTGAAAACGGGTGGAGATTTTTTTTTTCTTTTTGATGGAAAGTTGACAGCTTCACTGGATTACAGACTTTTCCTTTAAAATTTTTTTGTTGTTTAATTTAGTATTTTTTGTGTTAGAATAAAACCCATAACAGATCGACGGGCCTTTAAACAAACAACCCGCCCCCTTTATTTCAGACTGCTGTGGAAAAAGTTCTATACGAGTTGCTCATGAGCAGAAAGGTAGGATGTAGGTTGACTCTGCCTGCAGTGTGAACACAACCCAAGTCTTACCATAAAATGACCATAAACAACAGCTTTACTACATCCAAGGAACCCTCATTTAAATTCACAGTGGCAGGAAAATACATCAATATGATTTTACAGAAATATCTATCCGACATAAGACTGCAGCTGTTCAATGTTTTCAGTAATCAAAGCTGTAAGTGTAAAGTTTGTTTTACACCAGATCTGTATGAAGACGAGCTAATTCCTCAACACAGCCTCCCCTGCATTCTTCCCTGCATCAGGCTGGTTACAAACCTGTGTGTTATTTTCTAACTAACCAGCCTAATCTGTGTGTTTGATTTAATTCCTCATTTTTCAACTTTGTGCACAGTTTCATCTCTTAATAAGGACGGTTTATGTGAGGGATTCTGTTTTAAAACAATCTTGATAGTCATTTGCTATCCCTCTTTTTAGCTAACTCAGGTTTCTCAGTAGACCTACCTTTAAGCGTTTGAAAGTGACTTTTGTTGAAAGTAGACATTCACTAATTAGACTTGATGCTATTTAGCTTCATACTAATTGGATTTTCCTGGTCTTGACGTGCCTGTGTAAATTCTCAGTTATTTGGGTCATTGCAACCACAAACGGGCTTAAATTGGAAGGCAACTGAACTTTCCCTCATTTCTTCTTCCTTCCAATTTAAGCCTGCTTGTAGTCTAGTCTTAACAGTACAACCCAACTCCATTTGTTGAAAGGCCTCTGTGCGATCAAATTTAACAATATAATATTTGTAGATGTTAAAACTATAAAAAAAAAAGCATGTAAAATACGAAGAAAAGTTTTAGACATATATTAGATTATACTAGATTACACATTGTGGATTAACCGATCTATCTTCAAGCATCACACGACAACCATCACCAAGACTTCAATAATGGGGTTTTACTGGTTTTGGTTATTAACACGAACGCGACAGTGACTGCTGCAGCAGGACAGTAACACATTGTGGAAGTCACTGACTCATGATTTCCAGCCCAAAAAATTTTCATAAACTGCCTGGATATATGAAATCTCATCCAATTTGAACCAAAGTCTATTGATCTCTTGGGCCATAAATCTAAAGAAATTTTTTTTTTTACCCATAGACGGCCATCCTAAGCTGCCAGAGTGGGAAACATCCCAACCTGGCAACAATGCACGTAAGACGGGAGACGTTAGCCTTTAGATGCAAAACCCCATCATGCACCACAACATATTTTTGCAAAATATTCCAACATAAATTCGCCAAATATAAGAGGAACATCGTAGTTTGGTTTAAAGAAAGGACGGGCTATATATACTGCATGCATCATTTACGTAGTTAACATTGTATTACTTCTTGAGCTCCTTGATTTATTTACTGTCACAGGTAGGAGCTTTGGCCGGAGAGTAAGTGTTGGGGCCGGTATGATTTAAGGAGGGCCGGCCCTTTCTGTGTCTGTGTCCTTTCTGTATCCCTTAGATCTTCTCAAAGATGGATTCACAGATCCAGCTTACAATAAATAATCGACACCTCATCATGAGGCTCAGTTTTAACTTTAAGGCTGCTCTGTAGCACACTTTGCAGCTCTGTTGTCTTGCAGCAGGAAGGTCCTAGCCTAGCTTGGAGTCTCATGTTTCCCTGTGCATGAATTGGTTTTCTGGGTACGCTCTCCCTTTCCTACTTAGGTGTTAGTGTCTGTTCCTGATTGTTTCTCTATGTGTTGGGCTGCGATGTATAGGTGACCTTTCCAGGATGCGCCCGACCTTTTTGGCAATAGAAAGCTGGATAAAGGAACTAACTCTCCCTGCAGCAGCGGACGAATAGACTATAATAGCTGGTAAAAGAAGGGATAACAGTGGATTGACTTATTCTAACTCGAATTACATTTAAAATGTGCTTTTTATTGATGTGTTTTATAGACTAGAGCATTTTAGAAGCATTCAGGTAACAGGAAGTAAATAAAAGATTAGTTATCATGTGATATGTTCATTAAAACACTGCATCATTTTAGCCACTAGCGGCACTAGACTTGTTACTTACATGTTTAAAGTCACTAAAAGCAGCGGGTACCACTGCACCGTGGCAAAATAGAATAATCTCTTCAGGGTTTTAGACTCTGATATCAAACCACTTTGTAGCAACAGACTGAGAAAACATGGTGGCTCCTTGTAAATTCAATCCAAATCAGGAAAGCAAAATATGTCTGATCAGCTAATATCAGATCTAGGGCTGAAACTAAAGATTATTTTGCAAATAAGTTAATCTGTCAATTATTTTTTTCGTTTAATCGATTATTAATCAAATGGCCAAAGATTCTTTAAAGGAGACTTTCTTAGAAATTAAACTCAAACTTTTCCACTTGAGGAGTTCTGGATAGAGGATACTGACAGACACATTTTTTTTTTTTATCTTGAATGCAAATGTTGATATATTTTTCTACAATCTCAATAAAAATTGCTGCTCTAAGTGGATTACTCTGTCAGCTAAAAGCATGTTTTATAGTCTCTATACTCCAGTTAACGATTAATCGATTACTAAATTAGTTGACGATTGTTTCAATAATCTATTAATCACGATTAATCCGATTAATAGTTTCAGCTCTAATCTGATCTGTTTTAACTTTTAGCTTAGTTTGCTCTCGTGTTTAAGCGGAGCTCAGACTGCTGTAAAGTGGCGCTCTGGGTCACATGACTCATTCAGTGATGGATCCAACCCCCTCAATTTACAGTTGGGAGTTTTTGGGAAGAGCAGCTTAAACACGTGCTTAATATGATCATTGAATTTACCTCAATTTAGGTCAATACTGACTATTAGAACTTCTTTAACTATTCATAAACACAGAAACTTTACAAAATAAAACAAATTATCAATAAACAACAACTGTTGTTTATTGATAATGTCATCCAATCAGATTTAGAAAATATGTCCAAAATTTGGTCTGATTTTCTGGCAGTTCTCAGGAATATGGTTTAAATAGTTTTTTTCTTTCATTTATTAAACTGATTCCAACATGCGGCTCATTATGTCAAAATGTCAGACTCTCTTACAAGCAAATTTTCATATTTGATGGCAGATAAACATGTGTAATAAAGAAAATATTTGTGTTTGTCCATTTAACCGTCCCTTTAGTGTGTTTTTTGGATATGATATCAAAACCCCTTAAGGAATATTTGCTGTAAATTCATAGTAAACTTTATTTTTTTATATTTGGGTGGTTTATAAATAGGCTGAGAGCTTCGCTAGTTTCAGGCTGGAAAGTTATGCGATTTGCTCATGAAAAATGCATAGGAAGCCTGGGGTTTGGAGGTACACCTGATGTTTAATTTATCCTTTTTTAAAGATTTACTTGGCTGAATGATGCGCTGAATAATAAAGCCTTCTGTTTATTTATAATGCAAACCAACTTTAAAAGTTCGATGCTTCAATGCTGCTTGTTTTTTAAGAGAATCTCCTGGGTCATTGATGCCATCATGTGTCAGACATTTGAAAGCTGCACCTCTATAATTAGGTTCCTATAATCCCACTCTGCACTCGTTTTCAAAGTTTCTCTCTGTCAAGAGGTTCCCTGAGCGAAGAGCTGCATTCTTCCATAATGTCAGGCAGTTGAAATGTCCTAACTGGTCATTATCTGCCTAGCAATTTATGGCTTTTAAGCCATCAGGAGGTTAAATGGACTCCCTTTTCAGTGAAATATCCCCCGGATTGGAAAAAAAAACAAAGCGTATGTGCTCCTCTCATATAATTAAGGTCACCCCGATGGCTTCTTTGCTGTTGCAACAGCTGAAAGCTTCACTGAAAGCCTTTTTTTTTTTTCTTCCCCATCGTCTTTTTCCAACTTTTCTTTCTTGCTTCTCTACTTCTGCTCTAATCAAACAGGCCGAGCCGGTTGACGAGAGCTCAGTGAAGAAAATGATCCTGACCTTTGAGAAAAGGTCGTACAAAAACCAGGAACTGAGGATAAAGTTTCCAGACAACCCAGAGAAGTAAGACCATCATTAGTGATGCCTTTTTATTTAAGGTTGCTGTCATATACCCCTCCCATTTTTGTAGAATGCCTCACTTATGTGATGTAATCTTTTAAAACAGAGGTAACATTTCTCTCCAACTGTTTGTTTCTGATCAGGTTTATGGAGTCGGAGCTGGACCTGAATGACATCATTCAAGAAATGCACGTAATCGCCACCATGCCAGATCTCTACCACCTGCTGGTGGAGCTTAATGCCGTCCACTCTCTGCTGGGCCTTCTCAGTCATGAAAACACTGATATCCTTTTGAAACATTATTAAATAACACATTTTTATTGACTTCATTCAGCTCTATTAATGTTGGAAGAAATTGAAACAACTGTTCAGGAAAAAGTCTTGGCTGTTATCTCTTCCTGTTTTAGTAATTAAAATGAAAATACACGTAAATAAAAGGAAATAGGATCTCAGGAAATTTAAGCATAGGTGCTCTGTAACAGATCGTGTATATTGGAATGCTTATGCTATCTTTTGGACATGCACAGAAAAGTGATCTGGAGACAGAGGTGTCTTTAATTTCAGCTGGATTAGAACCATATGCCACCAACGCGAGTTTTGACACCCTGATTAAGTTGGATATTTTCAGTACCAATAATGTGTTTCAGAAATGACATATGAGGAAGCTTAGAGATGGAAGAAGCTATTTAATATAATACTATATGTTAACCCTAAAGGGCTGGTTATACTCCCACAGCAGTGTGTCGCAGTGAGCTTGTCGCAGATATTTTTCAATTTATGCCCAATATTAAAGCATGTTATTCCACGCCACAACGCAAGAGGGACAATCATGAACTAGCTGTGGGTCTAGAATCTAGATACGGGCGAGGCGGTGAGGAAATGGGGGCAAGTTTGTGTGACAACATGAGGGTGAAAAAGAGCGGGGATCCAGGTGGAAAAATGGTCCCAGCATTTTGGCGCACCTCGCTCTTCTAGCTGGTCCAACAGCATGAGTCATTTTCCACAACGTTGGTCATCCAAACAAAACAAGCCGGTAAGGTACCAAATAGGGGTATAAATCACATCCATTATGGCGATTCGATTCAGTATCGATTTCCTGACCCAACGATTAGATTATTTTTCGATACTCAAGAATGCACCACGATTCGATTCGATTAATCAGTTAATTTTTTTTTTTTTTACACCTAAACAAAGTTTCAAGTTTGAAATAAATCAATAAAAGCTGTAATATCGTTATGCATTTTTTTTTTTTTTAGAAACAACAACAAATAACAGAAGTAGAAAAGTTGCATCAAAAAATACTGCAAAAATACTGCACATAATCAGTGCAATGAGTTCAATTCAATACCTCGGCTCCAGACGTCCCCGCCCCCTCCACAGACGCTCCGCTGCACCTCTCCCAAATTGTAGCTGACTGCAAACAGTGCAGCAGACAGTAGGCCGTCTTGTTTAGTTTTTATGACCGAAATTGCGGAAAACAACTCGTGAAGTTTGACCCGTTAGAAGAGTGAGGTGCACAAGAACGCTGGGTCCCTTTTTCCACCTGGATCTCCACCCTTTTTGGCCCTCATGTCCCTCCGTCGTCGGACTAAACTCACCCCCACTTCCTCTCCGCCTCGGCCGTATCTAGACCCACAGCGTGTAGCACAGACCACGCTTCAATACTGAGCATAATTTAAAAATGTCTGTGTCAAGCTTGCTGCAACACACTGCTGTAAGAGTATAACCAGGAAGCGAGGTAGGAGGGCAAAATAGATTTAGCGCCACCGCTTCATGGGAGGGAGAAATAGACCGGAGGGAGAAAAAAATAACATGAGTCGATTATCTTGTGGACGTATCGATGCATCGGATCGTCGGTTGTTGGATCAATGCATCGATACAAAACGATTATTATTTACACCCCTAGTACCAAACAGGAAATATGTATAGTGTTTTCTATTCCTGTTTGGCTCTGACGCCATCCTGGAGAGAAATATGAGCTGTGCTGCTGCCATCAACACCTTTGTTATGGATGTTCGAGATTGGCCTGTTTTTCCAGTGTAGTCCTGTTTCTCTGACTATGACTGGGGGATGTGCTCTCTTCATCCTCTGAGCTGGCTCGGAGCTCGTCTGCCTGGCTGTGTGTTTCCTGGATGGGGCCGCCTTTTACAGCTGCTTTTTGTATCTCCTTAAACCCTAGTAGAACCCCCTCAGCAGATCTGCTCTGAGCATGGTTCTGCTGGAGGTTTCTTCCTGTTAAAAGGGAGTTTTTCCCTCTCCACTGTTGCTATAAGCATGCTTAGTGTGAGGGATTGCATTCGAGTCAATAAGTCAATGCAATCGACTAGTTTTCTTAAGATAGAAAACTTTGAATAGATAATCTGGTTAAACTGTAAAGTGCCTTGAGATGACATGTGTTGTGAATTGGCGCTATAGAAATAAACTGAACTGAATTGAATTGAATTGTAGAGCGGATGTAGATTTGACCGATTAGAGTCCTCGTGTCTGCGGCACTGTTTGCGCTCACCTACAATTTTGGAGAGGTGCACCAGCTTGCAGGGGCGGAGGCACATTTGCGTTCACTGCGACACACGCACCCTGGTTGCTGAGTATTAAGAGAGATAGAGACATCTAATGACTGCAGAGATGTTCTGGTTTAGTCTTTTAAACTGGTATTAACCTGGATTTGAGATTAGTAGCTGCCTTTTTTTGAATCCTGAAGAAATCAAGAAAATACACATAAACAACTTTTGTTTTTGGATCATTCGTGACCCTTACAATGCTATCTGCTAAGCTAAATTGGAGTGATGTCTGCTCACAATGGAGCAACTGATGTCTTCTGATAGTAACAAGACTTGAGAAAAAATCTTTCAATTAGATTTTTTATCTTCTTGTAGTTTTTAAAAAGAGTTAAATAAAAGCATCTCTGGAGTTTTGTATTTGACCTTCTCCAGTGGCAGACTGGTTTTTGCTCAACTCCTCATACCAAGTGTGATGATTAAGGTTTGTGATGGAGTCACCTGACCTAAGCACCATGCTGTTGAACCCAGAGTCATACTTATGCCAGGTTACCCCGGAGGTAAATGTGCGACCATCTAATCGACACTTGATGCCTGGTTGGTGGATGGTCTAGAAACAGAATAATAAGCAGAAGTGAGTGTCTGAAAAGGGAAAGAGTGAGTGTGCTGCTGTGGCCCAGTTTGAATCCAAACCTGAGGATGATTAAATTGCTGCCTGAAAGCCCTTTAAAGCACAGGTGTCAAACTCTGGCCCTCAAGGGCCGATGTCCTGCTGCTTTCTGATGGGTCTATGTCAATACACCTGAATCTCATCATCATTAGGACCTCAGTGGATGAGGGGAGGATTCAGTCCTCTGATACAGCTGTGTTGGGTTTGAGATGTTTTCAAACCTTTCCTTCGAGATTGAAGATCAGTGAGCTGGAGCACCAGTGTTAAATGAGACCAAAGAATTGGGTCACTATAAGTTATTGGTTTATTGACAAAACAATCATGCGTCTAAAACGTTTGCCAAATCCTGCTTCTGATATTAGTTTTATTGTTTAACTTTCTGATTATCCTATAATGAGATGTAGCAAATGCTGGGCTTTAATAAAGGGCTAAAAGCTACAGAACCACAACTATAGAAGAAGAAGCCAGGTCAGATTTATCAGGTCTGAATCTGTCTATTCTTTATATTTATTCTCCATAACTTTTAGTCTTGTTTTTGTTCAATCTAATTTCAGAAAAGTTTTTTTTTCTGCTGTTATTTGGTTCTTAACTCTTTAAAGAGACGAAGACTCTAGTCCCCCATCTGGTTGCTAAAAGCAGCTTGGAGAAAGAACACTGAGAACAGGTCAACCATATTCCAGGTTCCTCCGTTCATTGAGATGAGAAACAGGATGTTCAGTGGAGCAGCTCCAGAATCCCATCTTGTTTCTGTAGAGCAGACAATGCAAGACCCAATTTAAGAGAAAGATATCTGATCAGTTTATCTGAGCCAGTTTTCTGGCCTTTGAACCGGCTGGTCCTTTGAGTATTTCCCTCTTCTTCCAAAGCTCTTGCAGTTTCGGGCGTGCGGGTTGGGCAGTGGTTAGCATGCACGACCCATGTACGGAGGCCTTAGTCCTCGACGCGGCTGACCCGGGTTCAAATCCAGCCCGTAGTCCTCTGCCGCATGTCTCTCCCCCTCTCTCATACCCACTTTCCTGTCAGACTGCTGTCAAAAAAAAAAGCCACTAGTGCTGTAAAAAAAAAAAAATCTTTGTTAGTCTTGCTTATTAATGCTCCATTTATCGATTTACTATTTGAGTCCTGATGTTTTTCTTCAACTGAATCCTCTGTTTCCTAAAGCAACTTAACATGTCAAGCACTTCTTAATTTTGCTTTTAAATTTTGTGAGAAAATAATTAAATGTTAATTTAGGTGTAATAATTTGTAGCCATCCTGGGAATGTAATTAAAGAAGTTTATGAATCTTATTTTTCTGAATTTTAACCACATGTTGCCATAGCTGTGGTGGACCTGCTGCAGGAGCTGACCGATATCGACACGCTCAATGAGAGCGAGGAAGGAGCTGAGGTCCTCATTGAGGCTCTGGTGAGTTTAAAATTTACGTCCGTCTTTGTTATTGATCACAGGACTCCTGTTGGATCAATACTTAAGTTTCTGGGCTTCTGGATCCAAAGCAGGCAGAGAACAATTGATTATTCGGTCGTTGTTAATGAATGAAGAAACAGAAATTCTTCAGGCTCTCACCAACACTCAAACATTTACTCTTTTTAGGAGTTTATATTATTGATTGAAGTCTTGTAAGGATCGGTTAATATAAATTTGTTCTATGTTCATCCTGCATTACATGCACCTAAGATCTGTGGCTGAAACGTGTGACGCTGCAGCTCTTGCTCAATTTATAGAGCGCCATAAAAACATTCTCTTTCCTCATTAATCTTCGTAGTTTCCTTCATCCCTCTCTAGCTTTTATTATTTCTAATACGTTTCATACCCATTTTTAAGCTCTCTTTCATCCTCTTGTTCTTTATCTTCCGTCTGTTATACTGTCTGTGAACCAGGGAGACACCCACTCAAAGGGACATCAATATTTTTGATATCCCATTATGCTTTCTGACATTTACAGTGACACACACAAAGGTCAAACTGCAATAATGTGCGGTTATACCTTTTAATGGAGGAAGGAACTGAGCGGCGCCTTCTTCATTGGTGTCACCGAGGCTTTTCATCAGAGATGCTTTGGTTTGTCTCTCCCTGCTCAGACTGACCCCGTTTCTCCAATGTCTCACGGGTCTTTGAGCTTTGAAGCTGAATATTTTTACTCTTTTTCAGTCAGCTCTGAATGACTGTGTTTGGTATAGCCAAACATAGCCTTTTGTTGTTTTCAGACTATAGCGGTAACACCAGTACCAATGCCATCTTTAAGTTGAGCTAACAATTACAACTGATGTCTGTTATATGTAACTTTTAAAATTGTCTGTCCTAAACTCACTGATCCAGAAAGTATCTTGTGTGGACAGTTATTTTGTTTTTATTTTAAATCAGCCTTTAAATCTCTCTTGTTATGGCCTGAAAAAGTGTCATAGCCTAAATTATATAAAAAATATATAAAGAAATAATATATAAGAAAAAAAAAACTTTTTCGTCTGTCCATCTGCTCTATCCAGAACTCCTCAAGTGGAAAAGTTGTAGTTTCCCCCTTGTTTGATTTTGCAAAAAGTCTTCCAAGGAAGCTTTGGCTATCCCATTATTATTCGATTAATCGTAAAAATTATAGACAGATTTATCGATTTGTAAAATAGTCATTAGTTGCAACCCTAATCTACCGTATTGGCTAGAATATAAGACAAGGTTTGTTTTGTTAAAACTATATGAAAATGTGGGGTGGTTTTGTATTTGGAGTCTAACCAATTATACAGGTTGACAGTTGACCAGGGTCGCTGCACGAACGCTACAGCTAAGGGTGCCAAGTTTTTGTAAAGCCATTGACCTCGCTGTGGCTGGGGTCATCTTTCTATCACAAAATAGAAGAAGTGATAAGGATGCTACAAATGGAGATTCACTGCCCAGAACTTAGTGGATCAAAAGTCAGACAAGTTTGCAGATTTTGAGGCGGAGTTATGACGCCAAGTTTAAAATAATGGTGGCCAACGAAGCTGAGGCAGCAAACAACTGTCTGGCAACAAAGAAGTAGGGAGTTACAAAGTGCAATGTCAGAAGATGGCACTTTAAAAAAAAAAAACTTCAACAGCGAAGAAAAAGCTTATCAAAAGATTGCACAGCTGCAGGGTGAGAGTAGGAGTGACGGCGAGCGCAGGGAGGCAGAGGACGTTTTTGAGACGTTTCGTGAGCAAAGTTCAGATTGCATTTGAGGAGAAGTGTTGCAAGATTTCAATTAAATGAGTCATTACTGTTTTTTTATGATAGTTTAATTACACAATATTAATGTCAATGAAATTGTTAGCACTTCAAATGGTAAATAACCTGTACTTATAAAGCACTTTTTCAAGTTACAAGACTTGACCAAAGTGCTTTACACTTCATTCGCACCCACACTCTCACAATAAGGGTGGCAAGCTACATTATAGCCACAGCTGCCCTGGGGCCGAGGCTGCCGTACATTGGCGGCACCTGGCCCTCTGACCAAAAGTAGGCAATACTGGTGAGGTATCTTGACCAAGGCCCCAACGACACTGAAGAAACTAGAGCCTGGGCTCGAACTGACAACTCTTCTGCCACCATATATATCCAATATAAAATAGTGTCTTAAAATAGTCTTTTTTTTATTTATTTTTCTTTTTGTTTTGTTCCTATAAACTGCTCCTGGAAAGAGGTGTTCGTCTTAAAATCAGGGTCGTCCTGTGTTCGGATCAGTATGGCAGATCTACAGCCTCAAATCCGAATTCTTAATTGGGCAGCTATATAATACACTATATATTGGCAGCTATATAATGTAAAAGTTGCCCCTTTTGCTTTTAACTGCAGAATTTGATATTTTGTTCTTGGTTGTTTTCTTAAAATACATATCTTGGTAATTTCTCCCATTCATCAATTGGAAGTGTCCAAATACAGTATCATCCGCAGAATGTTCATCTTAAGAAAGCGGCCTTCTGTTGATTTATTACTTCCCAATCATCCAGCAGGAATAATCAGACAGTAGATCAAAAAGGTAAACAGGTTCTTATACAGATATTACATTCTCTCTGCGACTAAGGCGGTTCCTTAGGACAATAGCAGAGACATCAGCTCAGCTAGCTCTGCCATCTTCTCCAGGTGGAGGCATAATATAAACTCAGTCCATTTACCGTCCAATGGGGCGCTCTATAACCACACTGTTCCTCACAGCTTCTTGAAAGGGATGCCGTTTTAGGGCAGCAAGCTCGGTTGGTTGATTCCATTTGTCTCCTCTGTGTTGCTGTAAACTCCTGCAGCTCCGGTGTCCTTGCTGCCAGAAGGCCAGGTGTTATCCTTGATAAGATAAATCAAAGTGATTCAGGGCAGTCTCTGCGGCGTATAAATCTGCTCTGGCTGTCCATCTTCTTTCATCTGTAATAGTACTTTTATATAACCTGCCGGCAACCCACAATCTTTGTTTGGTCGTAAGTCTCAAATCTCGACTTGACTGATAACATATGCTTCCTGTCGCAGTACGTCCAAATGTCCTCTGACTGCAGCTCGACCCTAAAATAGAAAGTTCACTGTTTTTTTGTCATATATTTTCTGTTCCTCTTTGTTTTTTTGTTTGTTTGGGTACAAAGATCTTTTTTGATGCAAGGATTATAAAAATAGGTGCCATTCAAAAATGATGTATAAATCTATCCATGGAGGAAATATTTAGTAAAGGAGGCTGTGTAATTAATTAAATAATCAATATATATGTTGCTCCTACACTATTCTCCTCTCTGAAGTACAGAAAATGCTCCATGGTAGGACAAAACATAAGATCTTAATAGTAGTGTGGGAAGGATTTTTGGACCTAAAAGATATGCGATGGTGTAGGTCAGTGGTCGGCAACCCAAACTGCTCAAAGAGCCATATTGGACCGAAGAAACAAAAAAACAAATCTGTCTGTAGGCTCTAAAATGTAAAAGTCTTCTATAAGCCTCGTATGTATTATCCCACTATAGAAAAGGACTACATGGGTTTAAGTATATAGTAAGCATTGATGATTAAATGTTTATCGTCGAGCAAATTCACATGCCTGCATCAGAGCGCTATCCGTTTGATCTGTAGACGGTTTTTTCATGCTTGAAACCAAACTAGCAGCAGTAGTGGAGTTTGTAGATGCAATCCACTTCTTAAATTTACCTTTGCTCTCCTCTATTATTCAGATGTTCTGCAGTCGCATTCTTTCTCTCACTCCCAACTTTGTGATTGCTGCATATTTAGCCTTCAATGGAAAAGCCTTTCCAAATTACTCTTTATTATTTGAAAAATTCTCGTGCCAAAGCAAAAATGCAGGCAGTCCTTCTGCATTGATAATGAAAGCAAATGATTCGGTCCATTCTTCTTTGAATCCCCTGGTCTCATCAGGCATCTAATGGCCAGAGACACACCCACCGTTTTCTTTGCCTTGCACCGCGCCATGCTGAGACGTGTTGCAGGCTTTGACCACTGACCTCTAATGTTTACATATATTGTTTAAATTTATTTATTATACAAATTTTTAGAGCATTTGAAAACATAATCAATGTTTGTTTGACCTCCTGCACACCGTATTAAAATAAACATGCAAAAAAGGCTATATTTCTTGCTCAGAGAGCCAGAATGGCAGTTGTGGGAGTGGGTTTCAAACTCACAACCCCAGGATTCCAAGCCCTATGCCCTAACCACTTGGCTGCCTCTTCCACAAGTAGAAATTCGCTTTCTGTATTTAACCCATCCCATTTGGGGAGCAGTGGGCTGCCATTGTACTACACTCGGGGAGCAATGGGGGGGAGGGCAAGGGTTTTGTTCAGAAACCCAGGGTGGCAGTCTGTAGGAGTGGGTTTTGAACTCACAACCTCAGGATTTTAAGCCCTATGTCCTAACCACTATGCCTTCAAAAACAAAAAACAACTAGAAAAAAGTTACATTTGAGCTTCGTCTGCATTGCGGGATCAGAGTGAGGCAAATTGTTAGAGAACCACAACTCTGTTGGGGTTCATATTTCCTAACAGTATTTACTATTTTCATTATTTGATATTTGATCACATCAGAATGTTCATGTTGTCGTTTTTCTGTATCTCTATCTTTGTGTGCAGCATGAGGGTCAGGTGGTGGCTTTGCTCGTGCAGAACATGGAGCGGCTTGATGAACAAGTGAAAGAAGAGGCTGATGGCATCTACAACACGCTTGGTAAGGAAATGTTATCAAATGTTCCACAGTAAACAAGCTGCCTCACATCATCTTTCACTTGATTTATGATGTCGAAACAAATTTACATATCTCTGCAATTCTGTAAGTTATTTTCCTCAGAGAGCAATTAGTTTAACTGCAGGACATCAGGAATGGACAAGGACAAACGCTTTAAAGACATTTTGCACATGTTGCGTTTGGAATCTTCTGCATTACATTGTCCATATGTTTATTAAGAAAAGTAAATGAAAGTGAAAAAATATATAGAAAATCCTCAGAAGGTAAGCAGTTATTTAAAAGCTGTTAGAAATGCCACAGGGATGTCGCAACTTATTTCTTCTGGGGTCTGTTGGAAACCAGCACAGCATAGTTTATAAAGATCTCCCCAATAACGGCAACACTGATGGGTTAAGCCTTCCCCAATATTTGTCTGTATGAGGCTTAATTCCTGTTTGACTTGTCTGCGAGGTCCAGGCGGCCAAGTTATTCCATTTTAGCTTGACTGGGAGGAACATGGCGGATAAGCAACAGCTGCTGCTGGCGAGGATTCACAAATGTAAACTTGTAGAGACAGCTTAGAATTAAGTCAATGGATATCATGACGACCAACCGATTCTAAAAGTCTCTTGGAAATAAATTACTCTCACTATTAAATCACACAAAGAGGCTTTAATAAAAGATGTTTTCCACTTCTTCCTGTAGTCTGGTGTTATAAGCTTGGGGCTTGTGCTATCGACGCCCCAATAGACCAAACTAATCAGCACCATACTAAGTTCGTAACTTATGATAAGAGGACTTAAATATTTACACTTCCCAAATGTAATCATAGAAAACAAAACCAAATACAGAAACCTAAACCCTTCCTACACCCCCTCTAGAAGTAAGTGGAAGAGTCCAACTAGGCCTCCATATCATTGAGGAGATTCTTCGCAGCTGGAGCTTCCTTTCCTTTACTGGCCTCACCCACATGACAGCCTCCCAGGAAGTAGCAACTCAAATTACAAATATATTAATCTACAGAAAACCAAACAAGCAAGAAATGACTAAATGAGTCAACTAAATGTGTGCACCCAAATAAGGGGTGTGCAAAAATAATCGTCATGATGATGCATCATGATTCTAATTTTCGTGATCTACTGCATCGATTCTTGACGCCAAGTATCGATTATTAATTTTAAAACATTTATAAATAAAATTGCATGAATGGTTGGCGAACATCAGCCAAAAACAAGTGTAATACAACTTCCAGTCCAGTAGATGTCGCTGCGGATGTGTTGACGTACGCTGCCTTGTGTCACAAGCATTTCCGGCCGCGGATACTGCGCTGAGTCATTCAAAAACAAAACATGGAGGAGATTGAGAAACTTTGTCCGGCTCCATCACATATCAAATCCGATGTTTGGAAGCATTTTGGTTTTAAAAACAAAGGTTAAAATGAAGTTGATATATTGTTACAGTAATATTTTTTTTCATGGCAATACCTCCAAAAGTCATTTCAATAAATACAGCTATGTATGAATGCAGTTGCTTTCAGTTATTTATCAATTGGAAGACACTACCCAGATCATACTCAGTCAGCCACTGGTAATGGCTGTATTTTTTTGTAACAGTGTTTAGTAAAAATATTTCAATGCATCGCAATAATTCAAGTATTGTGATACATCGTGATAGAATCGCACTGTGGCCTGTGAACCGTGATTCGAATCGAATCGTGACTTCTTTGGCAATACCCACCCCTAACCCAAATAGTTAACCAATGCCAAATCAAAGTAAAAAAAAGTGAAATACAGTACAGTAAAATATAAGAGATTTATTTAAAGGAAAGAATTGCCAACCATTTGTTGTGTGGCTGCATATGCGACCATCACACTAGGGTTTCCACACTTTTACAGTCATCCAGGAGTTTGTTCCAGAGAAAAACTAGAAGTTGTTTCTCTGTTTTGGGTTCTGGGTATGCAGAGTAGACTTGAACTATAAGACATAAGAGTTCGGGGTGGTTAATGCACTGACAACAAGTCTGATGTATTTTGGTGTAAAGTCGTTCTGTGATTTGTAGACAAACAAGTCATTTCTCTGAGATATGTGGAGCCGGTGGAAGGACTTTCGAACTGGGGTGATGTGCTTCATTTTCTTAGTTTTAGTGAAGATGTGGGCAGTGGCGTTCTGGATCAGCTGCAGCTGTCTGATCCACTTTTTAGGCAAACTCCTGAAGAAACCATTGCAGTGATCGATTTTACTTAAGATGAAGGCATGAAAGGTCCTGTTGAGACCTTAGTTATTTATTGCTGGAGACATTCTTTAGGTAATAAAAGGCCGATGACTTAGTTAATGTCTTTTTGTGAGGGTTTAGTTCTGAATCCATCACTACTCTCTTATTTTGTATCTGATCAGGAGTTTTTAGATAACGCATTTTGATAACTTATTATTGCTTTCTCTTTGGTCCAAAATGGTCCAGAATTAATATGAGGTGGTTCATAGTTGGGGTGGCTATTTATCTGTTTATCATTGTGCAGATACATTTCTAGGCATGAGAAGATTTTTTATTTATCTTCTAAAAGGTAAATTGGAATAAATTATGTTTTAAAAACAAATTGTCTTGAGTAGTAGTAGTGATTATGAGGCCATGTTTGCTGTGCCAATCAGTCCTGGCCACACAGTTCTATAAGAAAGTCTGCAAAGAAGTAATGAGGCTTATTTTGTCATAACTTTTATCCTCATCCCAATAGTACCACAAAATATCATGATCAGATTTATCACCCAAATTTATATTCACCCAATGACATTGTAATATATGTGTAGTCTGCATATTTTTAATAATTTTACTTGTTATTTGTTATAATTTCATCCCAAGTTTGGAATTAAATTTGAGGAGCCCAAAATAGAACTTAGGGGAACCCTGCATATGAAATAAAGATTTTTTTCTGTGGTGCCACTTCTGGTCCTGCAACTTTATTCTTACTGTCTTTATTCTTGTCAGCTTTATTCTTGGTCTTTATAATTGTACAGTTATGAAAATAAAACCCTTTTTTTCTTTAAAGCAAAGCCTTCTGATCCTTTGGCATCTTGTCTTTGCAGAAAGATATTTATATATTTCCAATATTTACATTGGACCTAATTTTGCTAATGTGAGTATGGCAAAAAAAAAAAAAAAAAAAAAAATGATTGCATATGGATTTCAGGGCCATTTTCCCACACATTTTGGAATTTTATCAGTTTGATAATAAGCGTAGAATACAATCAAGTCCTGCGGCCTTTAATTTTGTAACCAGGTTCATGTCAGTGTGGAACTGATTTCCAAAACCATCTTTGTGCAAAATGTTGTTTAGTAGCATAAGATTTAATGAAATGTATTTGTGGGTTATGTCTAATGACAGATTTTCTTCATCTTTCTGCATTGAAACAAACCAAACTGGTGACATAAATGCTCTCCAACAGACTGTATAACCAACATTCATGTTTTGAACTAAATTCCAGAGATGAAAAATGTAATGTGTTTTGACAGAGCGTGTCCAGTTGCTGCAGTCATTCTGTTTTATTCATTATTTCATATTTTATTGACATTCTAGACAGTTTCCTTTTGTTCAACCTATGCTGTACATCCAATATTTGAGCTCAGAATATATTTTGCACAGCACTGCAGTGGTGAAATCTCTCTCCACAAAGGGTTGTGAGTGTTAGCTGGGCTTTTGTTTCCATGGAGATTCTCTGTTTGCCTTTTTGGGTTTTACCTCGGTGCTCCACCCTGCAGTCGTTGCAAAAACTCTCAGAGTAATATGGATTTCCTTTAAAAAAAAAACTTGATAGAACCTTGCTGAAATACATTCTCCTGCACTGCTATCATATTTATTGAGATTATTGCTGTCTTACTTTAAGTATTCCATTATTACTATTCTCTGCTGAAATCACTGAAGTGTTTTCTCTTCTTTTGAATCTGTGAAAAATCTGTTTTACCAGTAATGCATATGTGCATGACAGGAATATGAGCAGAATGAAAGCTAAATGAGCTCATATGTAGATGTTGTGATTTAAATGTTAAACTCGAGTATCTCTAAGCTATCTGGGGCAGTCGCTGCACACAGCAGGTTCCTGCAGTGACTCCAGTTCTTTACTGCATAATGAATAAAAATAGCTTGCTTGAATATTCTGAACAATTGATGGGTCTGCCCTTGTTTGTTACAGAAAAAATTGCCTTTAAGCAGAACATGAACAACTGTCTGAGGGTTGGAGACGGCACTGACAGGAAGCCCTTCCTGATTTCCTTTTTCCTGTCATACAGCAGAGTTAGAAAAGCCTCTTTAGTAGCCTTCTAGGTTTATGAGCTGCTATAAGGGTCCTGAACATTCTTACTAAAAATATGCTTTAAAGAGAAAACATAATTATTTTGTTTTCTTTTGAAATATATATAATATAACACACAAAGCTGACACATTTCCTCAATCCTGAAATCTCTATCCTCACTTAGGCTGTGGCCAACTACCTAAAAAGATAACCCTCTTTAGAGCAAAGTCTATGTTACCTGTGGCAAGAGGTATTTTAATGCTTTTTAGGGGTTCGTCATGAAGCACAGTTAAGGTGTGTTGCACGTTTTCGTTTTTGGCAACCAGAGCAACAGATTTACATGTTATCCTAGCAGGATGGTTATAGGTCCTGGTCAGATGAAAGCGACTGCATTTCAGCTGCACCTTGATTCTTTTCCTCCCCTAACTGGGAGTATCTGGAGGATCCACTGTTCTACTTTCCATAACGAATAAAGCACCATGTCTCACTCTGTAGAATACGCTATACTTAGTGGAAACCGGCAAGCAGCAGATAGAAGCTCCTTATAATGAAGCAGCAGGAGTGGAGCTTGCTACCTGCAAGCATATTTTGGTTCTAGAAGTTGTTGTGAAGAGTCAGTGGAGGTAGATCCAGCTTTAAAGTCGTAGGGATGCGGCCATTCCAACCGTTGCAGTTTCGAATTATCCCGAGTGGTGCCCGACTTTACACGAGTGAGTTAAGTGAATGTGATTGGTCGTTTATCAAGGGGGCGGGATTGTTGTGGTGGAAGGTTTGCAAGCAAGTTTGATTGTGGCCAGTGTCTTGGAAGCATCTTGCTAACCAGTTAGCAATTTAGTGCTAGTAGGTTCCCAATGGGAAATTACATTAGGACCAAGTAGCACTAAATTGGTGACTTAGAAACGACACTGTCAAGGAACGCTATGGACAGTGGAAACATGCAAGAGGAGGAGAGTTTTATGTCAGAGGTCGTGGATGAGTCTCCTCCATCATACATTTTTTATTTAGAGAAGGAAAGTGGGGACGAAGTTGTTGTGGAAGAGGCTGCCAGGGCGGCAGATGCTTGGTTTGGTGTAGAATCAGAATCAGACATACTTTAATAATCCCAGAGAGAAATTACTTTAAAGCCGTACATGTTTGAGCCCTTGCCTCACAACGCTGCCAGTTCTGTTAGCTCTACGCCTGCTGAAGACACAGACATCCATCCCTGTAAACACTTGGATACTATTTCTTATTTCAACCGTTGCGTATATTAGCTGTGAATCAAGATGCTATGACCGAAACAATTTGATTGACAGATGACCGTTCATATATGATTGGCCGAATTTAGGTGTACAAGATGACGTTTAACTAACTGGCCTGCGTAACAAAATGAAAACCCCCCCACAGATTTTAAGACAGGATTTTTTTTTTAAATAGAATTTTTCTCACTATTGGGACAATATGGTCTGATAAAAAGTACATTTATATACATGTTTAAGCCAGAATGATTTGACATTTTAATTTGACTCACCTACGACTTTAAGTTCTAGAGCTGTAAATCTGATGTGGCTCTTTCTGTCAGAGGTGACAAAGCCTACTTTTTCACGTGTTATGACTGATATTTAATCTTTTAAATGTTACTTTTGTTACTTCCATCTTTCACTTTTTTACTTTTTTTGTGCAACACCTTGAGATAAAGCATCATCGTCAATTTTCTTTAAATAATTATGTCCATTATTACCTCAAGCTCTGTGGTTAAAATCTGTCTTTTATTGCTACGTTTAAACCGTCAATAGATGATTTGCTGAACCTGTTTGCACATCTTGTGCTTTACATAGTCTTTACAGCCCACTTCATGTAGATATTTAATCCCTCACACAATTTGGTGAATTTTATTTGCACTATTTTAAGACTATGGCCTTAGCGTGCAAAATATGTAGGCAAGTAGCTTTTATTTATTAGCATTTTGATGGAAAGAATAGTATAGAAAGATGGTCCTGATCCCAGAGTCTAGTGAATTTTTATAGTGATGCAGACAAGTTTTCATTTTCTAAAATGGAACAGAGTGGAGATTGCCAGCAGGGGCAGCGTAGGACCACATAGTCATATTAACAGATCTTCTTTTCATATCATCTGAAATGCTGATGTCGTTCAGAATTAATGTCAATTTTAATAATGCTCAGTATGACCATAATATGGATAGAGAAGTACTTTGTCTGTATTCCCTGTTAGATGGGGCTTAGCTAAAAACTTGGAGGGCTAAGATTTGTATTTTGGGTTAAAAAGGTCCAACCTTTAAAAAGAAAAAAAAAAGTAAATATAAACACAAGGTCTAGAAAAGGGCATGGGCCAATAGAAGGTCTGAAAAGTACTGGCTGCTGTATTTAGCCTCACATCAATCAGTGTTTTCTGCCCCTCAGCTCTTTTTGTGTTGAATGAGTCCACTGAGATGATTTCTCTCTCTTTGTTGCCAGAATGAGGCTGCGTGTCAGGAGGGCTGTTTAGGTGTGTGTATTTGGCTCTGGGTATGTGGCTTTCATCGTGGGAGCAACACTTGTGAATCCTCTGAAGTTCTGTGTGCGTGGATGTGTGTGTGAGAGAGTTATCAAGGGAGCTCTCCAAGCTTGAATAAGCCTTTTGTCTGCCTTGGCTGTTTTCTGTTCTGGGCCTGCTCTCTTCCATGATGCTGTCTGCTCTGTTTGAATCCTTGATAAAGGGCCTTGTCCCCCCCCCCCCCCCCCCCCCCCCCCCCCCTCCTCATCTCCTCCCCTGTTGTTGTTTCTCCCTCATATCTCTATCATCTGTAGCCCATCTCACCAAATGTTGCTTTCTGGCTTTTTTCTCCCTTCCTGTCGTCTCTCCTCTCGCTCATTCCTGCTGTCCCCTCATTCCCTCAGTTGCTCATCCCTCCTTTTTGACTTTTCCAACACCACTTTTTCCCTCCCTTTTTCTTTTCCTCTCTGGTTATTTCTTTCTCTGTTTTCTCCTTCGTTCCATCGCTATCTCCCAGCTTTCCGCTGCATCCATTTAGACTGATGGATGCATGAATTGCAGAGACGGACCTTTGGAAGCAAAGAATTACCACATAAGTTGGGGGAAAAAGCACAGAGAGAAAAATCAGATTTGATATAGATTAGTCACACTCAACTGATACTTGATACACTTAATAAGATCAGTTTTGATCTGGAATTTCAGATTGCAGTTTCCATCCTTCCATCTTTTCTCTCTGAGCCTTTTCCACTGTAAACAGGCTGCACCCTACACTGAGGATCTTGAGCAAAAACATCTTGCACAACTTTCTTGCAAAACCATTTACTGTTACATTTAAACCCAATCCATCCTCCGTTCCTTTTTACATTGATACAATATGCCAACAATACTCCAATATGACTCTTTCACAACATTAACACTATGATTAAAAATATATAAGCTACATTTCCAGATGTATTCACTCATCCCTCCAGATTATAAAAGGAAAAAAAGCTGAGCAATAACTCCAGTCATGAAATGTTCTTGTCTCCAAGTATTACAGAAAATATCGGGCATACCCGATTGGACAAAGGGGAAAGCCACAGAATGCTTCTGAGGGGAGCCGGGGATAGTTTTGGTGTACAGAGGTCACCAATGATGTGTAGATCTACTTGTTACAGATCTCCAAACTACTTATGGTCTTCAGATTAGTTCATAAATGCCTTTCTGGTATACATTTCTATGACAGAGGATCCAAGCATACAGACAAGTATGATGGTGATTTTGAACACCTCAAGACTGATCAACAGTAGAAAAAAGAAGGTCCATAAGGACATGGATGGTAAAATTCGAATCGTAGGAACTTGAGTTGCCTAAAAATCGTCCTGACCTCAGATCTGTAGAACACCTGTTGAATGAATTGATTCATTTACCTTATTGATCTCACAGTGGAGAACTTTACTAAGTGGAGACTGTTTACCATGTCCTAAAGCATGAGGAAAGCCTTAATGTTTCAGCATCAAATTATATGGTTAAGTTAATATCTTTCTGTAGGCAGTAAGGAAAATAGGCTTGAACTGATAAAAAAAAGAAGAAAAGTAACAATTATATCCACTTTGTTTAGGTATAGTCTAATTCTATATTCTGCTATGCTGTGAGAAAGCTTAGCTAACTGACTCCCATAAACTGACAGGATGTTGCATAGAGTGAAGGTTCTCAGTCATCCAGGTCAACTCGACGCTATTCCGGACATTTTGAATTGAAAAAGCTTCCTGGATGGGAAGCGAAACGTCTTCAAACTTGGAAACAAAGTCCACTGGATTATTTTAAATTTTCTTTTTTAGAGTTGTATAGAGTAGGTTTTGTTTTATCAAATGTCTAAATCTGTCATAGTTTATTAGTCAGTCCATCCCCATAGAGACCAGAACCAAATATAAATGCAAATAAGTCAGCAAGGTTTTACGAAAAAAGTATAATTTAATGACATTAAATGGCAATTATCCTGAACAATAATAACTTATGAACCTACTAACATAAAAAGCTGAACAACTCGGTACACAACAGTTAAGTGCGTACAGGTATGATGTGGAATTTGGACAGGATTACATGGAAATGTACTGGTCCAAAAGTGGAGTAGGAATATGCAAAGGTGATTGGTGACGTTCTTCTTTGGCATCTAATGCAGAAGACTGGAAACCGTAGAATAGCCACAAAGGAAAAAAATTGTACTTTAAAACTAGAATTTTAAAGCCTTAATATTTCAGTTGCAAGATTCTTGAGCTGCCACATTGTTTTTTATTTTTTATTTTTAATGACACCTTCTTATAGTGCAATTTTCTATCCAATACCCATTCTATAACGGTGTTAGATACAGCTACAGGGAGACCACAAAAACCTTAATTGGGGTTAGATGTAAAGTGATTTTTTTATCAAAATGTGACTGTCTTGTTAATGATGATAATACTGGAGGGAAAAAGCTGGCAGGAACCGATGGTCTGCTGGATACGGTTACCCCAAAACCTTCAGGCTCTGAGGTTTTCTTACTTCTACATTTGATCTAACATTTTGGAAAGAATCTTGATGGGTCCGTTTTATAGGTGGAATTAGTTTTTAACTTTTATTTGGGCTATTAATTAATTAATTTTCATCCCCTGCAGCTATTGTTGAAAATATGGCAGAATTCAGACCCGGCCTGTGCACTGAAGCAGCTCAACAGGGACTCATGCAGTGGCTGCTCAAAAGAATCAAGGTAAGAACTTGGTCACCTAGAAAGTAGCTGCGGGGCACAGATGTCACACCCATGCTAGGTATAGGAGATGACATCACTGTTTGGATCACAACAATTACAAGAACAGGGTTACCACAGGTCATTACAAGTCATTAAATTATCATTTTTTTTTAAATTAAGGCCTTAATTAGGATTAAAATTCAATAAATATGATTATCGTGGCAATTAAAATGCTTTATTAAAAAGAATACATTTATAAAAACAATTTCGTCAGATATATTTGGTTGTTTGTGCGGAACTGCTTCTGGTTGACCGTAAAGCTGTATGTTCGGAAAAGAAGCTCAAAACAGAGAAAAAATTTCAACAAAAGTGACTGGAAAACAAGGAATATATATATATATATTTATATATTCCTTGTTTTCCAGCCAGGTTTTGATGAAATGTGAAAGCCCAGAAACAATTTTACTTGCCCAGTATAATGTTTGATAAATATAGTTCCTAATATTCATTTTTGTATATATGTATCAATGAAACATGTTTGTTTTTTTAAATGTTTTTTTGTAATTCACTAAGTTTCCAGTTGTTCCTGGTGTGTATATGCATGATAATGAATTTTTTTTTCTAGCGTGTATTATAGTATAGATTAAATTCATCATCCAGCTGCTGCTCTGCAGAATTCTCTCCCCAAGGGCTGAATCACGCCATCTAGCAGAAAGTCACGCGGCTTTTTCAAATCACACGAGAATGTGTACAAAACAACAAAGATGGCGCCGGCAACGCTTGTGGTCGTTTTCAGCAAATGTTGGTGATGGTGGTGTGTTGGTTTGCCCGGCGGGCAAATGCAATGAAATTCGTACTCTCCCAACAATAAAAACTACTTGCCCCGGGCGATAGGGCAATGGTTAACATCAATCCCTGTATATATATATATATATATATATATATATATATATATATATATATATATATATATATATATATATATATATATATATATATATATATATATATATACAAATTATTTCTATTAAAAGAGCATTAAAAAGCATTAAATTAGAGTTACTCATCCCTGTATGAATCCTGAAGAAAGGTTATTGATGCATAAGCAGGAATGATGAAAAGGCTAACAGAATAACAAAATGTGGGTTAAACACTTCATTATGTTTTTTTTTTATGGGTTATTTTAGAAGTGCACATTTAAAACTAAAGTCATGTCAGTTTGCCGTACAGAAATAATTCTTTCTTGCATTCCATCAACTTTAATGCAGTTTTTTTTTTGTTTCAATACAATCTCTTTATATTACATTTTAGAGTCAGATTTGTGTCATTAAGATGGAAATAAATAAGATACATTTAGTAAAATGGTTCAAATGAGTCCAAAGAGGTTTTATCTGTTGAATAACTTTGTTTTTGTGAGAACATTATACTACATAGACTTGGAAATTTTGATTCATCGATTTCATAAAGTAAGTTTTTATAACTATGTTAAAGTGTAATGAAAGTGTCGGTTGTAGCTCTGCATTTATCTAAAACCACTTCTAATTGGGTTATTCTGAAGTTGTGTTGCTCCAAAGGTTATCTTTTTTTTCTGTTTTCAGTCTGTTGGTTGTAGTGATTGAAATAAATGATGTTATAAATGTGTTTAGAAATGCTGTGCAGCTCTGCTTCATAGCGAGCATTAGGCAGGTCTGCGCTCCAGGCTACAAACTGCAGGTTTTCATGTAGAATACTTGGTGATTTTTGCAGCTCTCTGGAGAACAGAGCCTCTCAAGATGAGCGATAATTAGAACTTGCTCTCTCAATCTCTCCCTCTCAGGCGAAGATGCCGTTTGATGCTAACAAGCTTTACTGCAGTGAGATTCTGGCCATCTTGCTGCAGAATAATGACAGTAAGTTTTTCAGGGTAAATGCTCTGCTCTGTTTTTGAAGCACTCAAAATTATTTTGTTCATTTCTTCTTTTCTCCTTCCCCCCACCGTGATGTGTTCTATGTCAGGATCCCCTTATTGTGTCATTTTCTTTCTCCTTTTTTTCCTCATTACACGTCTCTAGTACTACACCTCCTATTTATATTCCTTTGAATTTCTTCCTCCCTCCTCCTTCCCCTCCTTTGTCAAGCTCATTTTCCTGCATTACCTTTCTATTTCATGTTACCTTTCATGTTCTCCACCATCTCTCTGGGTATGTTTGCTCTCCTCTTCTTAGTTTCTCATCCTTTAGAATAAAAAAGTCATTGATGGCCAGAGGAATGATCAGGTCCTTGGACAGATTCTCATTAATGATACAATCCATATTGTTATGCAGCAGGACTCAGGTCTCATTTTACACCAGTTCTCCTTTTCTTTACCCTTGCTGTCTCAATTACCTGCCGCCTTCTTTGCATTTTAACATCCTCAGAGAAAATCAATTTCTAAAAAAACGAAATAAAGACAAGCAGTCCCAGATAATGTTTAATTTCTGTCAATATTTGAGGCAAGAACAAGGCAAATCACCCTCTTTTTCTATTTACTGTTACACTTTATTGCTTCCTGACATCCTAAACTTCTCTTAATGCTGCAACACCTTTGGTTCATCTCCACAGGTTACTTTCACCTGTTTTTCCACTGACCTCATATTTAAGTTGGTCATGAACTTTTAAATCATGCTTACTTCTCGTTTTTCTTTCAATTTGACTTTTACTTTTGTGTTGTGTAACAAATAAAATATGTTGTGTCTACCTTGAACCTCTTTTTTTTTTTTTTATCTTTACCTGCTCTTTTGTTGTAATGGCTCAATTTGAGTTTTTAGGACTGTCGTGTTTTTCCCCCCACAGCTACCAGGGAACTACTGGGGGAAATGGACGGTATTGATGTCTTGCTGCAGCAGCTCTCTGTAAGATATAATTTTTTTTCTCTGCCCTCTAACTTTCAGTCAAAACATATCCTCTGGTTGAGCTTTTTATTGGGGTATTGCTTTGCTTGTCAAGTTTACACTATTGAAGGAAATTAGGACCAGTGGGAAAAAAAAGATTCTCCAAAATTCTCTCTTTAGTCTCAGGATTCCTTTTTCCTTTAGAAATCTATAAAAGAAAAAGTCAGAATCAATGAGATGAATGTGGATTAGTGTTCATAAAACTCCGATGTTGCAATTTACTATGACATGAGCAAAGACTTCAATGTTTTGACTGGGTTTTTATGTCATTTAATCAACACAAAATAGGCCATCATTGCTGAAGTGAAATGGAAACTGACTTTTAAAACAAAATTATATATAAAGTAGTTCACAAAAGCAAATGATTTAAAAGTTATTCTTACGTCGAGGGCGACTCTGGCGGTGGAGTGAAGCAAAAGGCACGTTTATGCCAACTACAGCGAAGCCAAAGTGCCGCAGCACGTGTGATTTATGAAAGGCAAAATTCACAGGAGTTGGAAAATCTGACCTTTTTTGATTGTTTTTTTTTTTTTAGAAACCAGCGATCCATATTAGGAATATTTTAAAGGTTAAATATATTAAATATGATAACCACTGGTTTGCTAGCTAAATACTAAACTGTGCTCTAAGAGAAGAATAATAAAAATGAAAAGAAGAGCTCGCAAGACTGAGCACCTAAAGCTTAAAATATCCACATTAGTAGCTACACTTTGCCATGATATTTTTAAAGAGGGAATATCCCGCATTTTAAAAAATGGATTTGCAGCGATGGATCCGATATTGCACTATTCCCGCTATCCCGCAGTGAATTTCAGCCCCTGCTCTTGAAGGATTGTTCCCCTAGCTCCAGCAAAGATAGCCACCACAGCCTCTACCCTTTTTGGTCATCACTCTGCCGGCGTTCTGGCCGTTATTTCCCTGCTTCTGTCTGAGATCCAAAATGCAGTCTCGCTTATCTTAAGCTCTACAGAAAGTGGCTGTGAATCAGCTGTAACTTCTGGACTCCCTGAACAGGGAGCATCTCTGGAGGATCTGCTGGACACAGAGACACCAATCTTTTGCCCCAGTTCTGGTTTCTGTCTGTCACTTTCACCGTAACACGTCTAGAACCTGCAATTTGTGAACATTTTTCTTTTCAAATCTTGCAAGATTAGTGTGACTGAATGGAGAGTGTTTGCTTTATGAAGTTGGTCTCAAGTCTTTGGTTAGAATAATCATAACACGTAAAACGGCTTCGATATACAGTAGCTCTATCTATGTTTATGCTGCTGGACCTTCAATCTTTGCTCTTGGCCTGCATTTAATTCTGAGCAAATACATTTCTAAATAAATCAGCATATCTGATGGTGCACCAGGTAGCCATTTTTATCACTATACCCACTTCCTGTGTCGATTCATGGCTTTTCTTGTTCCACCCAAGAGTTGCTAACTGTGCCTTTAATTATTCTCAGAAAATCGAAATCAAACTTTAACCCAAAATTAACCCAAAACATCCATACGTTTTTTTCCTCTCTCCTCACAGGTGTTTAAACGCCACAACCCGAACACAGCTGAGGAGCAGGAGATGATGGAAAACCTTTTTGACGCTCTGTGCTCCTGCCTCATGCTGTCCTCCAATCGGGACCGCTTCCTAAAAGGTGAAGGACTGCAGCTAATGAACCTCATGCTCAGGTATGGGCTGCAGCTTGTTGGAAACACGCCACCAGTAGCTCAGCTGGGAATCAGTCGCTCCATTTCATATCTCTGCCATGAAACGTCCAGCAGCGCATGAACTGCTCCTTGTTTAGCAGATGATAAAAGCACCAAATATATTTCTGAATAAATCAAAGACTGATTAGTTTAATTTAATTTGCAATATGTGTGTTTTTTTTTTTTTTGTGTAGCAGATGTGAAGCTATTACAGTTTGATTTACTCTTCCAGCAGCTGTAGTTCAGTCTCCTGGTTCACGTGTAGTTACTGTTGTTTCAGGCGTTTTTCCAGAGTTGTTACAACTCCAAACACCATCTGGCAAGTTATTAAGTTCAGTTTAATAGAAAAAAAAACAACCTATGTTCATCTTGACACATGCAGGTAAATCAGTCCCATATTTGCTTGTAAAGGGATTACTGTTCAGCTACCTCTGAAGCCTCCACATGATGGCTCAGTCTTCAGAAACTGCTTAGGGTATTTACAGAAGCAACGTTTATTTGTGGCAAACATAACGGAGAGAAAAATATAATTCTTAGAATAAAACATGGAGAAAATGGGTAGACATTAATCTTCTTTTTTGTGGAAACAAATCAAAAATATTAGTGTTGTGCAGTTTTCTATTAACATTATGTTCATTAAAGTCATAAAAATAAAAAGAAGTACTTTTAAGATGTATTTTTTGTCTTTTTATATAAATGTAAAATAAGGCACTAAAATAGGGTTTCTATACTTTTTAACAATCTTTGCAAGTTAAAGTGATCTGTTCAAATAGACCCTTGTTCAAAAGGTCGAGGCTGAAGTAATCATAAAAAGCTCTTAAATGTGTGATATTCTGACTGAAATTGCATGTTTTGAAAAGCTGTTATATAAATTAGCTGAAATTCTTCAGTTAAAAAGAGAGAAAAAAAAAAACCCTTCCATCTAGAGGTCAGTGCAGAAACCTTCTGGTCCTTAAAAGCTCATTTCACAGGTTTTTTCTTTCTCTCCCAGTTCTCTCTCTAACTGTTGATTGATTGGAGGAGAGTGGCAGACTTACAAGGCAGCAGAGTGCAGCCCGGCTGAGAGCTGACCTTAAACACTCATGCAGACCCATCACATGCATTTATGAAGCCTTCACAGCTTCTGCTCCTGTACAACGATAATCACATCATTGGACACACGGGTTTAAGACTGGGATCGATATCTCATTAGGGCAGAATCAAAACTATCTGTTTAAAAAGAAGCAAATAATCATTTATGGCAGCTTGATCAAATTTAGCCAAATATTGTGGAACTTATTGCAAAAATGTCCAAGTGTTACAGCGTTATGGTATTAACATAAGATTTAAAAACCAAAAAGGCTCAGTGCTGGAAGAAACCAACCTACTAAAACAAAAGTTATCATTAATCTAATATGGTACTAAAGATTTTAGGGATTAAGTATCCTAAATTCTATAAAGATTTAAGTTTTTAGATATATAAACTAATATTCAATAAATCTACTTGTTTTTAAAAGCAAGTAAAAGCCTTAAACATTTGAAACAAACTAACAGACATGCTGGCAGAGTAATTGTAAACTGCCCATTCTGTTGGGACTGAGTTAAAATGGAACAGGAGCTTTTTCTACACAAATTGGTTTAAAGCCCTAAAACTCATCAAGGATCCAATTAATCTCAGGCGCCAGGAGGAAGACTATTTGTGGTTTTCCACTTCGTAGTTTTATGACTTAATGGTCGTTTTGTAGAGATGTAGTGAGAGAATAGTGAATGGTCCCCATTTTTCAAAGGACTCTCAGCAGCCAGCTAATGGGGGTAGACCTTCAAGGACAAACCTATAGACGAGAGTTCCATTTAGTTCAGCCTGAGTTGGCGGTTCCCCAACTTCTTTCACTGGGCCGCGGTTTGATTAAAAAGGAACGTTTCAACTATCTTTCAATAAAATAAACTAAATCACCTATAAATAACAAAACTATCACCTTTAAAATATAAGTATTTAAAGTTTAACCCTTTATTTTCTCGTGTAACAGAATGAAACATTGCCATCAATAATTTCTTCTCAAACTTGGTACGGTAAGTTATAAACCATTAATGTTGTCACTTTGCCTGTACCAGCACCCCCATGTTTTGACTATAGCTGTGTTTCCATCCAATTATAATGCAAATGTTGGTAATTTTGACTGAAGTTTTCAAATGTTGGAAAAGAGAAACACAAATTAGAGATATTTTTGTCCCGTGGAGCAAATTAACCAGGCAGTGCAAAGTTTGGATTATGGGTTTCGCTGTAAAGAAACAGGAAGTAAAGATGACAAATGAGTACAAAACCACAGATAAGTAATAGAATGAAGTTTAAATGCATGTGTTGCAATTAGTCAAGTTGCACTTAAATAATCATGTCTGTTTTCATCTAGGCCTTCTAATGCGATACTTTGAAATGACTAGGGGTGTAAATCACACCAATCATGGCGATTTGATTCAGTATCGATTTCCTGACCCAATGATTCGATTATTTTCGATACTCAAAACTATAACACGATACGATTCGATTCGATTAATCGGTAAATTTTTTATTTTTTTATTTTTTTTTATGCCTTACAGGCTAAACAAAGTTTCAAGTTTGAAATAAATCAATGAAAGCTGTAATATCATCATGCATTTTTTTTTATTTTTTTTTAGAAACAGCAAATAAAAGAAGTAGAAAAGTTGCATCAAAAAATACTGCAAAAATGCTGCACATAATCAATGCAATGAGTGCAATGCAATACCTCGGCTCCAGACGTACCCCCCACCCCCACAGACGTTCCGCTGCACCTCTCCCAAATTGTAGTTCACGGTAGACAGTGCCGCAGACAGGAGGCCGGCTTGTCTTGTTTTCATGAATGAAATTGCGGAAAACAACTCATGAAGTTTGACCCGCTAGAAGAGCGAGGTGCGCAAGAACGCTGGGACCCTTTTTCCACCTGGATCTCTGCTCTTTTTGGCCCTCATGTCCCTCCGTCGTTGGACTAAACTCGTCCCCACTTCCTCGCCGCCTCGGCCGTATCTAGACCCACAGTGTGTAGCTCAGACAACGCTTCAATATTGAGCATAATTTAAAAATGTCTGTGTCAAGCTCACTGCAACACACTGCTGTAAGAGTATAACCAGGAAGCGAGGTAGGAGGGCAAAATAGGTTTAGCGCCACCGCAGCACGGGAGGGAGAATTACGCCCAGGAGCAACTGGATAAAAATAGACCGGAGGAAAAAAAAAACATGAATCGATTCTCTTGCGGACGTATCGATGCATCAGATCGTCTGTTCGATCGATGCATCGATACAAAACAATTATTATTTACACCCATAAAAATGAGCATAAAAATACTGATGGAAACGCTTCCTGTCCACATCTATAATAAGGGTGACTAAAGTGTTTAACAAAATCTGTTTATAACAAAAATACAGAAATAAAAAAACATAGAACACAGGTTTAAATCAAGGTAGATGAAATCAGAGTATTCGACACATTCTTAACTATTAAGGTGCTTTCTTGAGAGAACGGTGAACATGTTATTCCTATGTAGAGCGCAGCCTGGGAGCGAGGTTAAAATCGTGATTCCAGCCTTAGGAAAGACACTTTTTTGGAGAATACAGCAAAGCGTGTGCACCACCGCAGCTGCAAAGGAGTGAAAAATCGTTTGTGTATATTTGCCTCATGAAAACCAATCAAGAATTAGATGTGGCTGTGATGTTGTGTGAAGGAGCTCAGCGTAAACAAGCTTTTTTCAATAAAAATAAGAAATAGAGAAACTAATGTTGACAAAGGATGAAGTAGACCAAGCTATTAAAAAGGTTGGTTGGTTGCTTTGAAAAGAAAAAAACATTTTAATTTAGCCCAAGAATGACTAGTTGTCATTTTTGGATCAGAATGACAACCAGCATATTCAGTGACAGTAGTAGCCATTCAAACTTTTCCCACTTTCAGTAATGAGCCCTTGGCTGGTCCCTGTACAATTCCAACATCTAAAATATTCTTTCTATCATGATTCGTGGACATTAAGATCTAATGAGAAGCGTTATTGTTTGTTCAGACCCTGTAATTCAGTGAAATGGTGGAGTCAGAGTAAAAAAATATGCACGCCCATCAGAAGGCGAGTGGCGGGAAGTTAGGGGGGACTTTCCCGCCCTTCGGCGGACTTTTGACTGGGAAGGGTCATTTTGATTGACTGCTACTGTAATTGCTGTCGGCCGGCAGGGGATTTTCTGGTAAAATGTCCGGCGAAAAAAAGCACACGAAACCTGTGTGTTTGATTTTCATTTATTTATTTTATTTTTTGCAGATTTTGTGTTTTATGTGAACGGACTGTTACAACTTGATCAGAATAAAAAAGTCTAGAACTTTGATTTAGGCGGGACCAGTTCAGTTATAGGTCATGGAGCTTTAAGAGGCAGATTCCAGAGCAGAGGTGCAGCTACAAGAACAGATTTCCATTCACATTGGCTCTTGTTTTTTTGTCCGTGTTTCTATGGGTGAGAATGGGCACATTGATGCTGAAAGACTTCATTCATGGAATTAGAAGCTTTAATTTCAGATGTAAAACCGCTAACCGCCTTTCTGACCCCATGGCAGCACCATATATCTAGTATAGAGTTGCTTCAGATTCTGTGGAGGAGATGAAGCTGTGACCAATAATAAAGTGATCCGCTGACTCATTCTTATGTGTGATGATGCTTCTGAGGTGAGAGCAGAGACGAGACGTCTGTGGTCAGGATTAAAATCTAATTCTGACTCACTGCCTTTATGCTGCGAAACTGTATTATAATCTATTTAACGTCAGAGGATGTTTTTTAACAGTCAAAGATATTCAATAAAGATGAGAGATGGATCTCTGGAGAACATAAACCGCACACAGTCGCAGCTCATCTTTTCTTATGCTTCATTTTTATTTTATTCTTTAAATCATAAATAGATTCAAATTATAAGTTATTTCTTTTAAGAGTGGGTTTAGTCTCTTTTACTACAGATGAATGCAGAACAGCATTGGGGTTAGAATTTATTACAGTTTTAAGTTAAGAAAACCTGTTTATTCTAACCTAATGATACAGATTGTTTTAGTGGATTTATTAAACCTGATCACATTTTACACATACAGCAAAATTCCAACAAACTCAACTCCATAGTTTATAAAATGGGATGGAGGAAGCAGAGGCTTATTGCATTTCCAATCCCCACCATCGCAACAAAGCAATATAACACTTATAAACACAGACTCTGACTCACAACCTTCTCTCTTTATTTACATCCTCTTAGCTGAGGGCATTGTTTGTTTTGTGGGGGGAAAAATCAGTTAGAAATACACAGCCTGGGGCATTGAGGTTGAATCATGGAGCCAATCAACAGCTTGTTTAATTAAGAGTTTAAATCAACGTTGATATTAAGGGTTTGACTCACTTTCCATTACTCAGTTCTTTGAGACACCATTTAAATATTTCATATAATGGTTACTGCTCTGCACAGATCAGAAAACTCCTAAACTAAGTCTTTACAAGCTATTGCATTAAAAGAAAAAAAGGCGTCGCCTTCTATCACTCGGCGTGGCTCACACACTCCTTCAGAGTTTCAGTAAAATATTGCTTCCAAATTGTCGAGTTATGTTTTCCATCTGCAGGCCGGATTGCTTTGGCTTCCATTCGGAAAGTCTACTGCACATCACTCCCACGGTCCCACCTCAGCCGTCCATCATCTCCAGCGTGTCTGTCTGCAGAACCAGACACAACTGCCTGAAATATGTGTCCCTCCTCTGAGATAAACTCTGTCATCTGTCATTGGTGGAAATGGGGAGGAAATGACACTCAGACAGACAGCTACATTTCCTAAGAGGACATGTAGGGTAGAATAAGAGATTTTATTATAGTTTTGATTTTATTATATTATAGTTATAGATTTTCACTATCAGCTGTTCTAAATTACACCGGATCCCAAAGCAGGGGTAAAATATCCATTAACCAAAGTGCCTGATTTAAAGAAACATTTCAGTCACTTTGCTGTTACTTGTTTTATGGTGCATACAGCTAATATAATCCAACAGGTTAAATGTTTTACTTCTTAAATATTTAGTGTTAAATAGAATCTTGGGATTTTAAACAAAAATGTCTACATTTTAAAATAGAAAAAGACTTTAAAGATTAGAGTGGCCCAGTTTTGACCGTTGCACAAGATAAGAAAACTTTTAGGAACTCAAACTGGGCAGGTTTATGTAGAGGTGTGGAGATCTGTTAGCCTCGTGAGACCATCCTGATCTCGCAAGCTTTCAAGGTTTCACTCGCAGATCAGTCTGGCTACTTTCCGTTAAAGAAAATTTGGAGCAGTTCACCAAACGAACGTCCAATCAGCGTTGGCTTTGAGGCGGCTTGAGGTGTGACACAACGAGAAGCGCGACAGTTCAGTCTAAAGAACCTGGCGGCTTCAGCTGATGAAACTAGCATTAGCGTGGCTATCGAGCAAGTTTTATCGGAATTACAGAGTATTTCTTCACTGAAAGATGAGCAAAACACTGCTCTGGAGGCTTTTCTCAGAGGAAAAGATGTTTTTGCTCTTCTCCCGACTGGTTTCAGCAAGAGTTTGATCTATCAATTGGCTTGTGGCTGGCTTGTGGTTGTGTTTTCGTCGTCGCTCTGTTAGTACGTCATATGCTTCATTGATCTGATTGGTTTATTTGGTCCGTCTATCACCAACATAGGCCAATCAGCTAACCAGTATTTTCGCCCCTTCCCAAAATTACTTCAACGGAAGGTTTCCAGCTGGATATGCGGAGCAAATCCAGCTGGTGGAGTCAGGTTAGAGATCTGTCAGGTCTGTGGGCAGGAAGGATCTCCTGTAGTCACTGACTCTGATGCTGCTACACCTGCATATGATGGAAGACCAGATCCTGTTCTCTACTACTGACTAAAAATGACAGGACTGACTTGCACTGGAACTCCGATGTGCAGGGATGGAAAATGATTGTCGAGAGTACAGTTCCCTGTGGTTCTTCTCTGCTGCTGATCACCTCTTAAGTTTGTCAGGTAGTCTTTGATTTAGGAGATAGTCCAGGATTTAATCTGAGTCCTATAGAGTTTATATAATAGTGAATAAGCCTAAAATATCCTGAAGGAATGATATCTGGAACAAATATCTGGAACAGTCATTAATGCAGATGGGACAAAAGTAGAGATCTGTTGCCATGATGTCACCATTGTAAAAAGCCTAAAAAACCTTTACTTACATCAGAGGAGGTTCCTTTATTCGCTCCGCCTTAATTTTCCTGCCGCTCCGGCAAATTCGCTCCACGCTCGCTCAAACTTTCAGTTTGTAATCATGCCAGGACCCTGGGATACACAGCGTTGGATCTTATGATGTGACCGATACATGTGTATTGTCTTATTTAACTGGCTGTTAAATTATCGCACTGTTTCCCAGCTGTGAACGTAACGCCTCACTCCATTCATGTTGCCGCGTTTCCTATTTAAGTATTAATTTATTTTACTAGACTACATTAAAAAAGGTCACATTGCATTGCATTGCAAATGAGATAACGTATAATGCATGTATGCGATCCATTTTCAAAAACAGGCTCTTACCGAAACAATCACTTTATGTAAACCCACTCTGTATTGTTAAGTGTAGTTAGTGTATGTTTTTATGATATTTTATTCCACATTTTATCACACAATATGCAATCCTCGTCCCGGGGATTCCGTGGTAAAGTTGAAACGTAGACTATAAAAGATCATATGCACAGACTACAGCATAGGCATTGGCCTAGGGTTTAAGCCAAACAAGGTGGAGCAAAATACTTGCTCTGGCCTTTGAATTGAAAACAGCTCTGCCCTCCGCCATATTTCTTCTGCTCCGCTCCACTCACATGCTCTGCTTATCATCAACCTAGAAGCACAGTAGTGGAGGTTGGATTCCATCATGAAGCAGATCCTATAGGCGTCATGTGTTTAAAACTGAAGCCATGCTGAAACATTACCAACACTACAGGAAATCTGGAGAAGAAGAGCTGGAAGCTTCAGTTGAATTTTGTTCTCCGGAAAAACTACTAATGGCAGAGTTTAATTTTCTTTCACTAGGATTTTTTTTTGTCTCATTTTGTTACATTTCCTTTGGAATCAATGAACTGATATTAATTATCTGGATGATTTAGTACTTTTGATGCATTTTAAGTGTATATTTAGGGTCGTGACACATAAAGGCAGTCACTGGTGTGCAAAGTGTTGACTTTCTTTTTTTGTTTCCAGTTTTAATTTGATAAGCAATATACACATTTTATTATTGTTAAGATATGATCAAGAATATACTGTCTGGCTGCCTGCTGGAAATAAGACTTTATATTAGTTCAAAGCTTGTTTTAAAACTTTTACTGACTTGTTTTTGATGTCTCCTCTGCAGAGAAAAGAAGTTGTCTCGAACCAGTGCTCTGAAGGTCCTGGACCATGCTATGATTGGTCCAGAGGGAGCAGATAACTGCCATAAGTTTGTGGATGTTCTGGGCTTACGGACCATCTTCCCACTTTTTATGAAAACCCCAAAGAAGATGAAGAAAACTGGTACTTCAGAGAAAGAGCACGAAGGTCAGTCTCTAATTATAATCCGAAGCAGCTCGGACTTATTTTTTCTAAGGACAGGAATCTGTTGCAAATATTCAGCTCTGTTCTGACCTCTTTAAATAGTAAAAACCAGGAACTTAAGTTTAGATTTCTAGACTTTGGTTATGCAGAACCTTGTGTTACCTGCAAAAAGGGGCATGTTTTCTAAAAATTAAACATCTTAACATCTCTCATCACATCATTTAGTAAACTATGTCCTATTCAGTCAAAAAGATGAAAGATGTTTAATATTAGAGGAAGTTTGGCTGCCTTTTTTTATTTTCAATTAAACATGAAAGCTTTCTGCACTTCTCCACTATGCAAATCTCCACCATTGCACTACTTTGTCTACTCTGTCTTGTTTTATCACCTTTTATTACACATAAAAGTTTTATCTGCCTTTCAAATTAATCGTGCATGAACCTTTAATGAAGTCATACTTTGATTTCTGTTATTGAATTTTATATTTCAGCAGTGGGTCACCTTGAAGTTTAAATGCTTTATTCTTTTCCATTTAATATGTTACAAATTTTAAATAACTACATATTCTGCTGGATTTTCTCTTGTCTTTTTCTAGGTTACTTTTTATTCTCCCTTTCACCTCACTCTCAGCTAGCAAGGAAATTGCGCCAATAACAGAAATACAACTCACGATACCCCCCTCCCTCCCATAGGAGATTAACAGAAACAGGATATTTCAAATATGGATGTTAAGCTAACAAATCTACAGCAACCGTGTGAGGCTGTCAACGTTACCTATAAGTGTTTGGTTTGTGTTGTTCAAGGCACAGACCTTAAAGTCGTAGCAAAGTCATATTTAAATGTCAAATCATTCTGGCCTAAACATGTATATAAATGTACTCTTAATCAGATGATATTGTCACAAAAGTTAGAAAATTACTATAAAAAAAAATGTTGTTTTTTTCCCCGTTATCTTATGTAGGCCCGTTAGTTTTAAATCAGCCTGAACACCTAAATTCGGCCAATCATATATCAACGGTCATCTCTCAATCAAATTTTTTTGGTCATATCATCTTGATTCATATGTCGCAGCTAATATGTACGCAATGGTTGAAATAAGAAATAGTATCCCAGTGTTCACGGGGTCTTCGGGAGACGTAGAGCTAACAAAACTGGCATTGTTGCAAGGCAAGGGCTCAAACATGTACAGCTCTAAGTCTACACCAAACCAAGCTTCTGCCGCCCTGGCATTCTCTTCCACAACATCTTCATCCCCGCTTTCCTCCTCTAAATAAAAAATGTATGACGGAGGAGAGTCCTTCACGACCTCTGACACTGAACTCTCCTCCTCTTGCATGTTTCTGCTGTCCGTAGCATTCCTTGACAGTGTCGTTTCTAAGTCACCAATTTAGAGCTACTTGGTCCCAATGTCATTTCACATTGGGAACCTACTAGCACTAGGTTGCTAACTGGTTAGCAAGATGTTTACAATATACCGACCACAATCAAACTTGCTTGCGAATCTTCCACCACAACAATCCCGCCCTCTTGACAAATGACCAATCACATTCACTTTATTCACTCGTGTAACTCGAGAGAATTGGGAAATGCAACGGTTGGAACAGCTGCCTCCTTCCGACTTGAAACATTAAATAAAATCAACTGCTTAAAATGCAATCTTTAAAATCAAATGAAACAAAAATAGTAAAAGCTGTGGGGGTAAATTTGTCTGCATCTTTATTACTGATATTTGACGTCTCACCCTTTTTCGATAGAGTCGCTCGCTCATGCGTCACTTTGCTCCCTCTTCATCCCGTCGGTTTGAAATCCATCCAATCTTGATTGATTTTCCTGTCTGCTCTCAAGCCTCCTTGCTGGAGTGAGAGGTAGAAGGTCTAAACTTGCGGGAAATAAGATATAAATAAAAGGAATATTAGAATCTCTTAATGGCTTAAATTGTTTGGCTACATTCAAAAGTTTCATCCGTGTCGGTTGTTTTTTTTCTAGCTGTGCAGAGAAAAACAGATTGCCTGCTTTTGTGTCTATTATCAACAAGAGACTCAAATAAATTAACGTTTGAGCTGCAAAAGGAAAATTATCGAAGATAAACTTCCCCTCCTGCATCCCACCCATGTGCTCTGAGATTTGCAAACCTACCGACAGGGAAGAGCACCCATGCTCTAAGAGAGGAATTCAAATGCATGTTTAAGAAATGGTCAAAACTGACATTAAATCATTAAAAGCTTGTTCCAAATATGAAGAACGAGCTTATTTTTTATGACTGGCCGCGAGATTTAGGATGCGAATGAAATTTGTTTACTGAAACAAAAAAAAAAAAACAAGAACATATTGTAAATATGCTCTATCCAGAGCTCCGCAGGTAGCCTTTCTGGGCATTGAACACTCACATACAGTGCATTTAAAATGTGCTATACATGTCTGTTGGTGATAACTTAAAGCACTTGTTAATTGAGGTGCATTAATTTGCTAAGAATATCTGCTTTTATATTAGAACTACACGATATGGTCTTAGTCTTTTAAAGGTACACTATGCAACCGGTGTTGATTTTCCAGTGAGGCTCCCTCCAGAGGGCGAAAGTAAAAGTGCACTGTCGTAAATATGCACAGCTGTTCTCCTGGTTTCTCCGTCAAGCCAGGCGCGGTTGTTTTGAGCTTAGCAGCGAATGACTAACGCTGCGTTCACAGTGGACGTAGCTGGCACGACAGAAGCAGCGAGTTTACATGCAAAGTCAATGGTTGACGCGCGTCAAGGCGCAACAAAAGGTCCCGCGGCACGTTTTGAGCAGCAGGCGCAGCACGTCTGAGCAGCTGAAGCAGCGCGTCGGGTGCGTTTAACGCAGGGAGAGAGACACAGCGCTGATGATCACTCCTCTTAAACAGTTTATTGACGCCTAAATTAACTTAAAATGTAGAAATCTGCCGGCAGAATATGCAGTTTGGATTATTTAGATGAAAAACACCTACCAGCTGCCGCGGTGAACCGCTGCTGATGAAGGGATTTATACTGTTGGCGCCCCACTGGTATGTGGGGGTCTGAGCGGCTCCGACAGAAAAAATATTGAAGGCAGGATAATAATCTGAATGAACTGACTGCACTGATTATGTTTTCAGGTGTATTTTCTCACTTAAACACATATTAAAACTACTTTATTCCCACTGATCACAGCAAATATAGCTGCAAGGCAGAGAAAGGATAGTGAAGCTCCGCCCAACGCGCCTCAGACACAGCCGGAGCAGCAAAGCTGCTTCAGCCACGAGTCAGAACTAACTGTTACAAGCAGCAAAAAGGAAGCAGCAGACGCGATTTTGCTGCTTTTGCTGCGTGAACGTAGCATAACTGCACAAAGATCGCCACTGTGCTAGCAACGAGAATGCTTTTAACTGGGGGCGTGTAGCAGTTCTCGCCGTAAAGCAAGACTGACTCTCACGAGACTTCTGAGCCTGTGGGTGCGGGTCGGTGCTCCTGCAGTTGCAAGTGCAGTATTTCCCCCACAGACCACCAGGGTGGCCGAGAATACCTTTGTTCAACCTGAAATGACTCATTTAATCATCCAAAACGTTATGGAACACATTAATTAACTGAAAAATGTTGCATAGTGTCCCTTTAATAATGCTAAAAAATAGGATTAAAAAAAGCTTTTCATATCTTCTTTGCAGTCGTTTTTAGGCATTTTTATTGAATTTATTTTAATTCTGTTTTCAATCTTGGATTGCCTCTACCTTTGAATTCATTTATGAAAATTTTGTCACATTATAAATATCTACTTCCTTGATCGATGTGGTTCGATTCTTGTATGGAAGTGAGTTATTATTCTAATGATCACGAGCGATCCAAGTTTGAATGCTTCTTTATTTCATCTTCTTTTATTTCATGTTCTTTACTCTCAGTAATTTTGCCTGTAGAGGATTTTCCATCACGTCTCCACTGGTTTGTCAAAGTGCCTTAGGTGTAATGAGATGCCTGTCAAAATGCAAATCATATTGAGTTAACCATCCCTCTCTATAAGCCTACTAATTGAAAATGTCATTAATCAAGGGGTTCTTCTGAATAACACAATAACACTGTAGATTAATTAACTATTGTATGCTTCAAACAAAAGTAATTAGGAGGTAGGGACCTCTAAGTCCTTCCCTCTTTAGTCCCGTCTGTCTTTCCAATCCTTTTAATTGCTCTCTATCACAAACTCCTGCATGAAGATTGATCCTTGCAAAATCCTTTCTGAAACGGAGTCGCTCTAAATGACCTGAGATCACCAGGCCAGGTTAGCATAAATGGAGCATAATGAATGAAGAGGTTGTATTTAGGAATAAATAAATAAATAAAAATTGGAAGGCTGGAAACAAAACCCCAAACGACAAATCGTATCCCGTCGCTCATGAGCATTCTCGTCACATTTCAGTTACTTGTTCTGGGCTTTCTGTTTATTGGTGTATGTACTTTGTCATTACCACCGAAATGAGATTGTGTGATGGAAATTGGTACCAGCCGCTTGTAATATTTAGGTGGCTAATGATGCGAGCGAGAGTTCGAGGGAACAGAAGTAAACAACTAATTTACATGGCGAGGCACAATAGTCATAGTTCCATCTCCAACTCTGACTCGGAAAGGGGTTTGTTTGTTTGTTTGTTTGCTCGTGTGCATGCGCCTTGTGTTGGTAGAGAGTGAGGCTGAGAGACACCGCATATGCCTTTGTACTTGATGTAATTTAAATTCCACACAAACAAGCTCCCAGAGCTGCAGATGCCCGAGTTGTGACCCTTATTTTTCTAATGAATGCTCTCAAATAAGTAATGAGGAAGGCATGCATGCTGAGAGAGACCTGTATTAGAGAAACTGTCAAATTCTAATGCCTCTGCTGTTCTTTGGATATTTGCATTAAAAGGAAAAAGGAAAAGCCCCCCTAATGAAAACAGAATGTCTTTATTAAAGCAGCTGCTCCTGCAGAAAAAACAGAGGTTGTAGGTTCATTATACATTTATGAGAGAAGTCTAAACAAGCAGTT